TGCTTTGCTTCACACTGTTCTGCTGTAAATATAATGAATGTACTGTGGTAAATAATGTGATGGAGTGTCAATCATAGATTTACAATTACATATTTAGGAGGCATTCTTGTGAATTATATTTATATAGAAATATATGCTTACGTATCATTAGTTCCGTGAATCCCCGACACAGCGTACTTTTATTGCTTCAGTGAATTGATTTAACAGCGTGAATCAATCCTTTTATCTTGCTTCATTTAACATGTGGCTCCGAATAGGTCTGTACGGGTTTTAGTGTCATGCAGGTCGTCACGTTGTCACTCAGCAGTGTCTGTACACACAGTCTGACAAAAACAACATGCCAGGGTGCATCCGGATGGAGAATGTCAGCGGCCTTTTCTCTCTGACAGAGTGCAGTGTGACGACGGAGGCAGAGAGACGGTGTTTCTGCTCAGCGGTCACGACCAGAGGATCCACCTGTACAAGGAGGTCAGATTGTGTGTGTGATTTTGATCCAAACATGAAAATGTAGTTTAGATCTTATCCTGCTCTATAAATGCTTATTTATGTAGAAATGCGTTTACAAGTGTGTGTTTGTGTGAGTATATGCTCTCATGTGCGGGTATTATTTATAACGTTTTGACACCTCAAGAGTAGATAATATGAGTCATTTTCATGACTCATTGCATTACATTTTTGTTACTCCCCTTTCATTGCAAGTATTATTGAAAATGAAATTGTTTGTCCTATTAGATCATCAGAATCATAAACTGTTTTCAGGGAAATATACCAAAATATAACTCCACTAGAATTGTCTTCTGAATTAAAGGGGGAGAGAGTAGAAAACAAGATTCATTTGTTGCACTTAACTTTAGACTCCTTTCTGATGCTTTAAGTCCCAGCACACAATCCTCGTCAGTAGATGGATTATGAAGAAGTTCCCTTGATATGCTCCACATCCATGTGGAGTTGAGATTCATTGCTGTGTTTTATAAGGGATGGAAGCAACAGAAAGGCTTTTTTATTAACGAACGGGGTGAAATGGGATGGTTATGAGTTTTGCATATCTGTATATGTAATATAAAGCGTCCCATTGCTTCATTCTGTCATTCAGAATCAGCTTTATTGGTCATGCATGTGTACGCATACATGGACTTGGACTCTGTTGTTTTACTCCGTTCCCCACCTACATACACAGTTTCTTGCAAATAAACAAGAAAATATAAAGGATAAAACAAAGACAACATCAAATCTGACTCTCCTGTTCCCAACAGAACGCCTCCCTCCACCAGTTTGAGGAGCAGCCAGTGGAGAGACTCTTCCCAGAGCTACAACAACTGCCCAGCAAGTTAGTCTGAGGTCCCTGTGGTTCTGTTGCAGCAGCTTGTGAGTCTGTGTGTGAGACACCAGCCGGGCACAGGTTTAGCCCTCTGATTTTCTGATCAAAATGATGGCGAAGTTTGCCTCTTCGTCACCTTTGCACAGACCGCACTCGTCTTCAAACCCAACCTTAATTTTGGATCTGAACAACCCACCTGTAAAGTTTGGTGAGCGGGGCTCACACATGTCGCGGGGACCAAATCTCCCCACAGACGGACACGGGCTGACCTCCGTGTGGTGGTTTCCTGCTAGTTACTCATGAACAACATTAGGACGTCGTGGCTTAAACACAGACTCACAAATAGCAAAAACAACCCGAACAACAAGCAGCAAAATGAAATGCAGCAGACACCGAAAAGAGGAACGACTTGACTTCATTCATGTGCGCATAAATGTATGCAGTATCCGCCTGTGTGTATTGGTTGTGTGTCCCCTCCCTTGGAACAGTGTGCTATGGTTGGACATGCTGAGCATAGCTGGAGGCCGGCGCCTCTCAGCGTTTGGCTGTCAGAACGGCTGCGTCGGACTGGCTCTGGTCAACCAGACAGGACCAGGTGAGCGAGACCTGACACGGGACAATGGGGCTTCAGCTCCATCACCCCCCCGGCCAGAGTGGGGCTGAAGAACACAGCGCGAGGCCCCCCCTTCATTCACATCTGTGCCTTTTTTGAATGGTTGCATTATACATGAGACCAGAACGGGTGAAGCTTAGAAGCACTGCGATTCTGCACAGGCGTTACTCTGACCTCCGAAGGGGCTTTATCAATTCCAATGATACGGCGGTGCGATGCGTCCCACCTTGAATGCACAGTCAGAGGTGTTGTTGAATGTTGAAAGCAAAGATGCCTTTTTTCTAATTCAAATGGGGAAACTGCTTATCATTTCCTTTTTGAGGGCGATTTTCAAAATCCATTTAGTCATTTGTTTCTATTATTCGCTTTTATTTGTGTTTTAAGTGGCTACAAGATGCAGACATACTGGTAATACTCTTGGACTCTTGCTGAGTGGGTTTTAAGGATATTTTTTTTCCCCAGAGGTTTTGCAGAGCTGGAACTTCCAGTTTGACAGTCCAATCTCCTCACTGCTGCTGTTCCATCTGAGCTGCCAGGCTGAGCCCGAGCATCCCAGCGCAGACAAAAGTATGTTACTGGTCTGTTTTAGGTGCACGTCTCCAGAAGGCCTTTCTGTCTCTTCCCCAAGTTGCTCCCTTTTGGAGAGGCCTGTCGTCACTGTGGATGATTCAAATCTAAACAAATCAAGGATTTGAAGGTTTGTGTCCGATATTTTTACAGGTGTGGAAATGGAGGGCTACAATCTCCTGGTAACCAGCACCATAGAGATGGCAGTTGTCTACAGGTTTGAATACTTTTGAAGGATATCAGTAGTTATCGCTCTGTTTTTGGTATTTTCACCCAGACTTTAATCCCTGTGTGTGTTTGTGTTTGGTCAGAGATGTCCAGGAGCGAGGCCTGTCTCACCCAGTGTGCCTTTCAGAAAGCGACCAGTGGGATGCAGTGCTCTGCTCGCTGGTCATTGACCTGGATTTCGACGGGCAGAAGGAGGTGCTGTTGGGAACATATGGGCAGGTTAGAGGTCTTCTTTACTAATAGTTCTTTAAGCTAAAATCAAATTCATAGGATTTCCTATTGGCTCCACTTTGTTCTCAACACGACGATGGCTGAGCTGGCAGCTTGCAGCTAACGGTGCTATCAGTGCTAACAGTAGTGCTGATAGAAATAACAATACTTCCCTGAGGGGGAACTTCAGGGTGGGTGCTACTCCTCCTCGACAACCATAAAGATAGTGGTTGTTCCAGATTCATTGTTTTTAATAAATCCTTTTCCAGTCTAACTGTGGCTCTCAGCTGCAAGCATAATAGTTCCTACACAGGACATACATCCTTTTAATATAAGCATTTTTTAATCAATTTTTGGAAAGACTTGATGATAACAACAGAAGGAATTAGTGCATTTGCCGTGGACTACTTTCACTGCTGGATTAATATAAATGTGGTGCTCTATAGAGTTGTTTAGGCAGCAGGCAATGTTTGTCGGACTGTGTTGAAGTAGAGTAGATTATGTGTGCCCATGGCGATGAAGGAAAAGTGTTTGTCAGTGATGAGTTATTACAAAGGAGCTCAAGTTACAGAAGAAGAAAATATATTAGGTTTTAGATAGATTTGCAATATAAAAACTTTGCATTGCCTTACCCTCCCACACCACAACAACATAGCATTGATAATGCTATAAATACTCTGCTATAAAACAATGACCTTAAATTCAGCAATTGACAGTAACTGTTTTTCTCCCCTTTTGTCGGGCATCTCATTACTTTGATCAAGTGATGGGGCGAGATCTTGATGATGACAATGTTGTCTCGCCCACGCAGGAACTTCTTTGTTACAAATTCCAGCCAGCAGAGAGAGAACGAGACAGGCAGTTTCAGCTGCAGTGGAGGCGGAGCTTCAAGAGTCCTCTGCTGTCCATTACCTACTTAGACTTGACGGGGGACGGTTTGAGAGAGCTGGCTGTCCTCACGCTCAAGGGGCTGCATATCTTACAGGTATGGTGCAGTAAGCTGTGTTACATCTCTGCTCTTCACCCTTCTGCTTACAGTCCCATGATAGACGGATCACCTGCTCACCAAGTCAAACATTAAAGCACGCACTTGAACTGGAGAAAATATTATTTCCAATGGAAGTGACTGAAAGCCTTAAGAAGTTGCTGACCTCTGCTGGCCACCGGGGGAAATGCAGCAGGGTTGATAGAACAAAATTCTGCTTGTTTGGTCTACTAGCTACGAGCTGAACCAAGACAATGTTGGCTCATGTTGTGTTGTCTTTTTAGCACTCTCTCACCAGCACAGCCAATCTGGTCCTCGAGCGGCTCGCCCTCAGGGTGTCAGCACTCACGGCTGGGCCCGAGTCGGAGGCAGGCAAAGAGCAGGACATTGAGGAGAAGGAAGCTCCTGCTGAGAAAGAGCAGTACGCTTCGCCGACATCACCAACATAAGAAAACCAGGGTGCTTCCACATGAAAGTGCTGATGGATCGGACTGTGTTTGCTGCTTTTACAGGTGGAACATGAAGGATTTTCTCAGTATTCCTCAACAGTTCCATTTACAGACACTAACATCCTATTTGCTACCCGATGACAGCCCCACTGTGCTATATGGTCCAACACGATGAGGTGCTGTAAATCGTGTTTTAGTCTTTTGCAGATAATAAATCCCATGTGGGTCTGTACACACCCTGTTCTGGATGTTTGCTGGGTATTTATTTACCGTGCACTACTTTAATTTGACCTTTTAACTTTAAGATTATTTGCCTCTAGTACAAACTTCAATTTTTAGTTGATCAGATTCCTGTGTGAGAGCACTTAGGATCCTAAGTGCACTACGTTTTATTTTATTATCTATTTCTGTATAAAATGTATTGATATAGATATTTGAATTGTTGGTGCTCACATGATCGTTTAGAACAGCGTTGAACTATGAAATAAATGTATTTTAGAGCCTCCGTCCACAGTGGCCCCAAATCAGATGGATCTTATTGGCCTCGTCTTTGACCGGTCAGTGGCACTGTGGTCCTCTCTGCAGCCCTCAAACTAGATTCCTCCCCTCCCGCACTACAAAGGCAACAATAACAACAGCTGCACTTATCGGACCGGGACTCCACAGAGGAACATGACGATGACTTCCAGAAAGCTCGTGTCCCCCCACCTTCCCTCTGCGAAGCTCCCGCACTTGTTCTAATGGCCGGTCGCCCCGCGACTCTTCAGCTTTTGTGCGGCTCTACTTGCCCACGAGCGGGTTCGTGCTTATTAGCGCCAATGAGGACCGCGCTGTCGGAGCGGCGCTGAGCGCGTTGTTACCCGTTGGGTTGGGTACATTTAGGCCGGCGAGGAGCGACGAGTGCGGCGGAAAGAAGAGACCGCGATCCCAGTGTTGTCTGACATTTTGATCCCTTTGAGAACGCACCGAGCAACCCCCCCCAACCCCCCCCCAAAAAAACTTGTGGTTTGTATCGCGATGCGCGTTGTGTAGTGGTGAGCGCGCCGCGCCGTGCGTGAGACAGGCAGCAATAGTGCAGAATAAATCTACAGCTCCGGCGGAAGGAAGATCAACAGGAAAAGAAGATGATGATGATGGCTGGCGGCGGCGGCGGAGCGGCCGTGGACCTCAACGGGATATACCCGAACCTGCAGAGCCTGCAGCAGCCCCCCATGGACGCGGATAGCCCGGACTCCCGCAAACGACCCCTGGAAACTCCGGCGGAGGAGGCCGGCTGTACCAAGCGCACCAACACTGGAGGTGAGAGCCGGAGACGAGAGGCTGCTCGTGCACATTGGCTCTGTTGCTGCAGGAGCCTTTGCAATCACTGCTGGAAAGTGTGACAGCAAAAACGCAGCAGCAGCAGCAGCAGCAGATATTTCCTTTGGTGGGGGGTCTTTACGTGTAACACCTGTGCCGTTGCCATTTGGAAACCATCGCCCGTGTTTGTGGCTGTTACTTCGCAGGCTGTCTCTCAGCGGGGGTGGGGGGGTGGGGGAGGAGAGCAGGCAGCCTAACTGGCCGAGTGGTGTCCTCGGGTCAGCTTTGAATATATGTGAACCCGATCCCCTCTTCTCCACATCTGGAGTTCTGCTTCGATAGGACGTATTTCATTCAGCGGCAAAGGGATGCTTTAACGATGCAGAAGACAAACCATCTGTAGAGCTGTGTTTGAAGTGTTTTTTCTTTGTGTGTTGGGATTTAGCTTAGCTTTCATTGTGCAGGGGCCACACAATAATCCTACTTACGTTTCCACCCAGATGTGTAAAAGCAGGTAGTACTGTGGCACTTGGTTTGGGCAGAGAGAGCGAGGAGGGTGTCCAAAGAATGGACCCCTGGGTTCAGTTCGTGCACTAGTGGAGCTGTTAGTGTTCTAAACTCTCGAAAGAAGGCATGCAAGAGAATGACCCAATTAAATGGATAATTTCTTCATATCTTTGGTATTTTTGTCATTTACAAATTTGAAGTACATGATTTTTGCGTAATATGAATGTTTTACAACGTTATTCTACGTTTGGTCATGTGATAAGACCATTTGGTAGCTAGTTCTATAAGCGTTATCTTTGGCCTCCCTACTTTCCCAACACCATTTTGCCTGTAACTTATTCCACTGTAAAATCCGACAAATTGTTTGTAAAATATATCCATAGTTTATGGCATGTGTGCCTCGTAGCCAGTAAGTATAGCGCACACTGAGGCCCATCTTAACTACCATACGCCTCTGATCTGTCCTGAGCAATAGTAGTGGGACAAACATCTTGGCTTGGGAGACCTGGATTGTATAATTTGAAAACCACTCCTGAGTCTTGGTGCAGTACAAACGAGTCTCAATGATATAATGTCTAAAAAATCCTGGAGACAAGGTTGTTGTTGAGCCTTAAAGGAAACAACCCTCTGATCCCGGGCAGTGTGGGGTTGATTGCTGGTTGGCTGAGACGTAACAGAGCTGCAATGTTCACTTACGATGCATGATGGACTTTGTAGGTGCATGTTTTTATTGGTTCTGCTTCAAATGAACACTGTCAGGAAGGATGGAGTTTTTTTTAAACACAAATGTCGGCGCACGCTCGGAAGGAAAACCCATCCAGTGAAAATCGCATAAGTGCATATAGATAGTAGGGTGAACTCATTCCCACTTATAGCCTGAATTCCTATCAAAGTCGGGTTATTTATAGGTCACGGGGTGAGTCAAATCTCAGCATCTGTTTGATATTTTGTATGACCTGTCAGCACACTAAACAATGGTACTATTACAATTTGGACAATTAGGCCCTCACCTAGTGATTAGTCCCACCGCCGAGCATTTGTGGATTATTTTCTAGGCTTAATTTGTCAGTTGTTTAGTATACACGAGAAAGAAGGGAAAACGTCAATCAGTGTTTCTCAAAGCCCAAGATGATGTCCTCAATGAAATAGTTTTGTTCAGTTAATTGTCAAAGAAGACTAACAAATTGCCAAATAACAAATATATAAATAATATAAATAATAGTCTTAGGATAAAGCATCTCTCTCAAATCGATTCATTGTTGCAGTAGGGAGTGGTGAGACTAGTGAGAGTTAGTGTGCGTGTGTGTGTCTGTGTGTGTAGGTGTGTGTGTGGGTGGGGGTAGCAGAAACACTGCAGTGCCATTTTAACTAATTGATCTTGATTTTGTTTTCTGGAGGAGAAATAGTGGCGGCCAGTAGAGCATCAAGGAGGGGAGGTGTGCGCACACCTGCCCCATCAGTAAGATGTCGGCGTGCGGTAGCAGGGACGGCGCCTGGCTCGGTGCGCCAGCTACTGCGCATCGTATTTCACCATTTGAATGTTACGGTCTGCAGCTCACGGGGACCATTTATTCAAGAATTCCATGTTGATTAGACGTCCACAGAGAACGGACACCGTGCGTTCCCGACATTTGCTTTGTCTGCCTTCGTGCCCCATACAGCTCACCATGTGATGATAGCAGTATTATACATTTCCAACGGCGTTTGTTGTACCTGAGAAAAGTCATTTCAGCAGGGCACATTAAGACCCTTGTACCACTAGACACTATTTTAAAGCACATTCAGCATCCCTCGTGCCCTCTATTAGCACCCCTGAAGCCACTGTAAGAACAGAGAAGTCACATGGTGTTCCTGCTTCTGAGGGAGGTGACACCATTCCTGTTGTAGCACACTACACACCGTAGAGACTCTAACTTGATCTTCCCCGTCCAATATCCAGGTGATGTGAATGGCTAGACGGTGTGAAATTGTAATTGGCGGATCTTAATAAACACTATAAATACATAATTCACTTGCTGCGGTAATTTACACGCTGTGTTACCGGCGTGACTTTGTGTCCTTTCAAGGCGTCTCTTTGTCACAGCCCCGCCGGTGCAGCACAATTAAATGCGTCCCAATGATGTGACTGTGAGAGGCCACTTTGTTTCCTCAGAGGCAAAGGTGTTCCAGATGGCGTCCTGAACACACTCTTATCTGTGGGGGCTTACTGATCACTTTGTCAAGGAGGTCAACCAGACAAATCCACTCGAGGATATCTAATGTGTGTCTGCGCTCATTTTGTGTGTTTAAATAAGGAGGTGGATACATGCAACGCATAATTTAAATTATATTGTGCTGTACGTTATACTAACTATTATACTAGCACTATACTAACTAATTATAATAGCTTTCACCAACAAAATGAGTTTCAACATTCAGGAAAACAACAACAATTTAATTCTAAAGCTTTTGTGTGTCTTCTGAACCTTTTGTGTGTCTTTGAAAAGGCGGTCGCTAAATAAGACTGCAGAAAGTCTTCGCTTAGTGATGGGGACGTGAGGTCATGTGACCATAGTGTAATTTGTTTATTGCTAATATTGGCCATTTCTTTCGATGATTGTAGGCCTTCGTTAAAAATCATAAATAAGGGTTTTCATTTGAGAAAATCCTCTTGCTGAAAAAAACTCCTTTTTTTAAAAACCTTTTTTCTGCAATTATCCAAATTCAATGGAAAACTCCCATTGTCTTTTTGTGGAGGGAACCACCAAATATTCTTCTTATATTGTGCAGCATAGCACTGTCTTTTAGGCGTTTGCACATGCAGTCACTCTTTCATATTTCTGATTGGGGTTATTAGGTCCGAAGCCTAGGTCATTAGACCATTTGTATTTCATGTGATGTATTTAAGACCCCCCCCCCTTCAAAGGCACATCTCATTTGATCTACATGTAACGTGGGGAACGCATGGCCTAGCAATAGTGATAGACAGCCTGATAATCCTCTGCCGTCGCTGTAATCAGCCGCCTCTCGACTGCGTCTGATATTGATCATGCTTTTTTCCCCCCGAACTGATCATTAACATGACTGGCAGTTGCAACAAAGAGAAGAAAGCCTGTGTGCTTCAAAGCCGAGCCCCTCGTTGCGCTTCATGAGCGGGGGACGCTGAATGGGTGAAATTAGTCTCTCTTTTTTTAGCATTTTGAACATCTTTCAGTCATTTCTCTCTCTAATTAATCATACTCTCTACCCATGTTGCTGGCAAGCATGTGCCCCCCCCCCCAAAAGGTTGCGTGGCCAAAGGATTAGGAATGATCTCGTAATGTTGCTAATGGAAAGGTTGGCACAGGAATGTGAGCTGTATTTTTTATTTATTTTTTGGGTGGGAAGGACACAGGTGCCCTTGCAGAGCGATGTGACGTGAGCGGACTGTGAATTTGCCAGGTGGCAGTGAAAGAGAGAACGAGAACGAGAGAGAGAGAGAGAGAGAGAGAGGGAGAGGGGGAGAGAGAGAGGGGGATAGAAACGAAGGCAGAGCAAAGCGGAGAGAAAAGGAGAGCTAGATAGACGGTGAGTAGGGAGTGGGATCCACCGGGAGGCTGTGTCTATAGAGCAGAGCATCTCTCAGTGAATAAGACTGAAGGTAGAATATCCTGGAAACCATTTTGCCCCAAAAAAACAAACGGTCCGCTTGTAATGGGTCTGATTTGTGGATGAAAGTTATCAGCACTTTTCCTCAAACGCACTATTAAATGAAGCTGAACGCCCCCTCGTCCACATAGACACTCATACGCATGTATATTGCAGTTTTTACAAACATCCAGTCACTTAAGATACCTCTCGGCGTAAGATTTATAGGCGTAGTGATTGGCTTCATCACCCCCCTCCACCATTCTGCGGCACTGCCATTTGCAATGGTTGATGAGCCCCTCCGCCCTCCCAAACATGGCCGTCTAAGGGATTGGGGGTGGGGTAAAGGGAGGAAAGAAGGGTGGGTGGCGTAAGGCACGCTGCCTCAGATCACTCCTCCTCCACCTCCTACATCATCTACTTGTGCTGGCCGTACACCTCTTCAGCCACTGTTGAAGGTCACTCCACATGCCTGCCCGTTCGCCGCTGAAGCTCGCTCCTCCAACCACTTCACCTTTGTCACTTGCCACAAAAAAAAGTGAGTGAATGGACTGCCGTACTTTATAGTGCTGCGTCAAAAGAGGCGGAGTGGAGGAGTAAATTGAATTTTTTGGGGACCGGCATCGAGGGTGGGGGGGTGTGGGGACGTGACGTGCTGGAGGGAGGAGGCCAGCCATTGGCCAAGCGCGGTGTCAGTCCTGCGCGCTGCTGCAGACGGACAAGCCACTCGATGAATATGGATGAGAGCAGTGAAAAGGGTGATGCGGCAGGGAAGACCCCCCCCCCCTTCAAACCGATGCAGGCTTGAACAATGCGTGCCGTCTTTCACTGAAAACACTGAGAGCCCGCATTAGCATTTTCTCAGACAATTGAGGCTCTGGCCAGCTGCAGGCATGGATCGGATGCTGCGGTGAAATCTCTTTTTCTGCGCCCACCGATGAATTAGAACAGCGGCGGAAAAAAGTCGACTGGCCGCATTCCTCAACACTTCCATTGCACCTATGCCTAGGCTAACATTCAGATCCCGTTCAGATCCCGAGATTGTGCCCCGGCATTGATGGCGATCTGACAGAGGACTTGAGAAGCAGCAGATCTCAGAATGGGTAAGCCGCAAACTCTTTTTGTCTGACTTGTTGAATTTATCCGTCGTCTTCGCCTGAGCGATATTTCATTCACTAAAGGCTAATTTGTCCATCATGCCCATTTTTTTTTTTCCCGTCGCCCTTGCTGCCTGTCAGCAGCAGGATAGTCCATTGAAACGCGGAATGGGTGCATGGACGGGTAGTGGGAAGGAGGGAGGACGGTCACAAGGCATTTCCTCCTGACCCACCCCCTTCGAGTGACTTAACTAAACACATTTGGCTCAATGTCTCTCCTCCAAGCCATCCCTCCAGTATTGGAAGCAGGGGTTCAAACTAACCCCCCACTAGCTCGGCTTCCCAAATATGCCCCAATGCCCCCATCCCCTGCCGGATTGCAGCAACAGATTGCCGTGTTTACTCTACCACATGACGCCATTAAAACCTGTTACTGTGATCTCAGACACTACGATAGAATTAATTATTGACTCCAAACGCGGCTGCGAGTGCGACGTAGAAAATCTCAGTGGCTTTCTCCCCTGCTAGGTTTACTATGGTTGAAGATGAGTAGAAAGTTACGCAGTGGGCATTGGCTTGTCTCTCAACAACAGGTCTTTGGTTGTTTGCATCTTGCAATCAGCGCCACTCAAATTATATTCTTTGTCTATGGTATCCGATATCTCGGGACGGGAGTGAGGGCTCAGAAGCTTTACGACGACCGTATCAGACATGCATGATCTTTATTTTCTCACCAAGGTCATTTTATCGTAATTCGTTGCGAGAAAAGCGAAGCGCTGACTGCAGCGTAGCGGGAAATGTAAAGATTAGATGGCTATAGATGAACATAGTTTATGTCTTTTTTGAAGCTGTTCTGAGATAAATTACATCATGATCATCACCTGATATATTTACCAGCTTCGGTGCGTGGTGATGTCTGTGTTTCAAGGTAAATGTAACTGAGGCTGTCTGTACTACTGCCACTAATGAATCGAAATCCAAAGTGAAATTTCATTAACAATCGTTTCACTGAGCGCATACTTGACAGAGCCATTGATTATGTCCAAGAAAAACAAGCCTGTGTCTGAATGCAACATGAGGGGCATGTTAATGCAATAAGGAGAAGAGCTCCTTGTGGGCTGTGAATTGCCTTAATGTCACAGTGCCATGTCCATTCACATCTGAGTCTAATGAGTAGATTACTGAGGCAACAGGTTGTCTTAGTGCAGGGTGGTCCATCTTCGTCCACCTTCATCCATCCCTCCGTCCTCCTCATCATGCCGGTCGACCGCCCCCCCCCCCCCCCCCCAGCTCCTTTACATATCCTCCATTAAAACACAAGAGTCATTGAAATGGTGACAAACTGTATGGCATCGAATCAAAATATCAGTATCACCCTTTGCTCAAAGTCATGTAAAAATCTCATACTGCGAAGCTGGACAGAGCCTTTCTCACATCGCTGCCTGCTCGAGTGACGTCACCCTTGAATCAGCTGCAAAAAGGATCAAACCTGACGTCATTGCATCGGTACCAGTATGCAGAGGAGATCTTTTGTAACCACTGCTGATAACGCACCTGTAGCCGTTATTTACCATGATGTCATCAATGTGATATTCAGAATTCAGTGGGGAATCACGTCCGCTCCACACATCTAAAATAAATAAAACGGCTCTGTTGTATTGTTGGCAGGTTCTTTATTCTTATTGGGGTTCTAGATTAGCTCGCTCGATGTGATAAGGGTTTTCTTAGTACTGACGCTTTGCTCACTCTGGTGCTGATTAATTCTTAATTAGCATCGTAAGAGAAAGGAAGTTTCCCAAACTGAGTGGGAGAACCATGTGTAGCTGCAAAGTCTGCACACTGACAGGCTGTCAATCACAGAATGCTAGAAGCCGCTGTAAGCCACAGAAGCCCGTTCCAAAATGGAGGAGATTTATACCATCTTGGCACTATACACTATGAACAAATCTGTGGGATTGGTTCCCATATGTTCTTCTCACGTCTGTTAATTACGAAGGATCACTCTGCATTGGCATCCACGAGCAGCATGGGTAATGACTTCATGTGTTTGCATGTTGTCCCCTTCGTGTACCTTTCTCAGAACATTGAGGCTACCTTCAGCAGACAGATTTGACCGTTAATTCTAAACTCCTTCTCGTCAAGTGTGGAGAACGATTTGTAACACTGGAACTTGGCCAATTTGAATTCAATCCGAGGTTTTGTAAAACTCCTTGAAAACAGTTAAAATTAGACCTCTGCAAACGGGAAAAGGGGTCATCATTTACTCTATGGGAAAATCTGGGACAGGACACGGAACAGCCTCGGATAAAACATGAGCTCACTGAAAGATGCTCAAAGAGCTTCTTCCAGATACTGTACATCCCCTTCACCAGAGGAATACAGACACACAATATGTCATTGCTTTTCTACTTAGTAGAAAGCTACATGTTCCTCTTGTCAATCTTCTGCTTGTTCAGGGTATTGGGGTGGGTGGGGGCACCGCTGTGGCGTGGATAATGGTGTGTATGATAACGTGCACAACTGCTTTACGAGGCTTGATTCTTTTCCACTCTATGTTTCGCCCCCGCCTTCCACAGAGGAGGGCGAGTACTTCCTGAAGGTGCTGATCCCCAGCTATGCAGCCGGCTCTATAATCGGCAAGGGAGGCCAGACCATCGTACAACTGCAGAAAGAGACGGGTGCCACCATTAAGCTGTCCAAATCCAAAGACTTCTACCCTGGTACGAATGAATCCTTCAGTGTTCAAAATCAATGAGCATGTATTTACTCATGTATATATTCATAAACGCTTCTGACTCACTACCTAGCTGAAAGAGTGATGCTTTGGTGCCATAGAGCATTTGATATTTCCTCTTCATTTGGCAAATCATTTCAATCCATTTGACTGTTCATAAACACTTTGAACTTAATTGTCATTATGTCTCTGGGGGACAATACATGTAAGACCATTCGGACGTAGCATTTAGGTCTGAAGGCCCTTTTGAAGTTCTTTGGATAGCACATTTTGCCACTGTACAAGTTACCTGGTGCCAAGTGGTTTATTTGTCAACTAAGAGGGGCAGCCCTACATTTCCCCTTAACCACAGGAGGTCACGAAATGTTCCATCTGTTAAAAAAAGAATAGACCACAGAGGTCATAGCACAAAAAACAACTGGGTGTCCAATGGCATTATAGTGAACATCACAACACAAATATTTGTAAAAACTGCTGAATATAGTAAGCTTAAAAATACTTTTTCCCATTGACCAGCCATAATGTAACTGTTGGAGGGGTGTTCAAGTGGCACACACTTGGTTGTATCCTTCATTGCATGTTTTGTTTATAGTCTTCACAGTTTTATGTTGATGCATAAACTCTATTTTCTGGGAAAATTGCAGAGGGGTGTTATTTATTCCCCTTCCCCCCAGAAAATGAGAACAAACTCTGTGACGCAGAGGACACGGTATGCATCGAAGGCAATAATCATGCCGAACAGAGTCTCGCTCACAAATGGCAAATGGGGAAGGGTGAATGCGACCCATCTTATCGTCCAAACCCAAACGCCAGAGCCACACGGGAGTCTGGCCGTTTGTCCTTCATGCCTCAGAGGAGGCTTCGACCTGCTGAAAAATAACAGGTGCTGAGCGCCTCGCTGCTTATTAGTTCCAGATGTTTTCTGTGATAACTGATTTAAGCAAAGAATCCCTGTTTAGTATTACAGTTTTTACTGTATAGACCTTTAGAATGTATAATCACCTCTTTGGAAATAGTCATCATTGAACATGAAATATAAGTAGTTCAAAATATGCTTGAGAAAAATATAACAGATGTTTTTTATAGAATCAGTCTCTTTAACTATTTTACCTAAAAAACAGAAAGATTATACTCAATATACCATCATTATGGCTGGCTTCATTATTGAATCTGTCTCGTGACTGTCGATGGATCATAAAGCACAAAATGTCACTCTACCTACAGGAAAAAATGCCCAACACGGCTTGAATCGGACCTGTTCTGAAGGGAGTTACATGTGATATATTGGACTGACAGAATCCTGGCAAAGAAGTAGCCAACGGAGTGCCGAGGGAGAGGAAAAGAGAAAATATTTCTCCTGTATTTTTCTCTTCGAACCGTGTTTCTGCGAGCTGCGATGGGAGGAGTGCAGAGGGCACGGCCCCTGAAGTTCTCCACATTCAAGGCCAACTATTTCTGAGGGGAACGCACCATGGATACTCCATTGGCATGGCAACAAATGAAAAGGATCGATATATATCCTTATTTCTCGCTTTTGGTGTGTGGATGTGTTCATAGGCCACCACCTGCTCTGCCCATCCCCCTACTCATTATCGTGATGAGTGAGAAAAGGAGTTCAGGGAGAGGGTGCTGGCCACGATTTGATTGGGCAGTTGCTCGGGTGCACACACGTAAAATGAAAGAGGTGCTACTGTACCCTTCCTAATAGATGAGTGGTCATTTGAAGCTAATTTAAAAAATGGTATGGGCAACTTGGTTTTGTTTCAGGTTTGAAAATGTAAGAAATACAGCATTTTAGAGGCAATTCAGCATGCTAAAGTTCTCAGCTAACTCTGTTTTATCTGCCATTCTTTGTTGAATCAGCTGCAGTGTGGGCTACTACAGCATTCTAATGCCATTACACACAGTTCACGCCCTGGACTCGCATCCTGCGGCATACTGAGCACACTCCAGCCATAGCACAATCGCACACTAGAGAAATCAAGGGACAACAACCGCTGCAGCCATTTTCCTCTGCAATCCTCTCTTTGACAGCTCGGTCTGAGACTCCCTCCCACCTCACGGCCTCCGTCCGTCAGCGTAAAACCTGATCAGATCACACACACAAAGATTCTTGATGGGGACTTTGCAAATGTGGCGGGCTGAGATGGATGAATGGGGACGATGTGATTGTGTGACAGGAGGGAGCCGGCCCAGAAATAGCCGGTTTCAATCTCTCTCTGTGGACATGACCCCTTCTCCCAGCTGTAGTCAAGCTGCTCCGACGCACGCCAAGTTTCCTCTCGCCTCCTCCCCGCTCACTGTTTCTCTCACATTTGGTTACTGGTAGTACGGCGAGTTCAGGCCAGATAAGATGACATCATACCCCTCTTAAAATTCTGTTTGCATGCTCGCCTCCTAATGCATGGGCAGTTACTGTTTTGTTTTCTACTATTTGGTCTGAACCCATCTCGACTGCATTTACTCAAGCCCCCGTAAACGCAGCGCACTATACTGTACCGCTCTTTCGGCACACACACAAACACACACACATACACCCACCTACTCACACCTACTTACACACATCCGCATATTTAAGCAGCTGCAGAGAGAGCCGTGGGAGTTCACGGTTCGCACACAAACTTAGAAACTAAACTCCAAACTCTTTGCTTGGTGGAGCTGGCCTCTAGCCAAGTACATGTATTGAGTTATTTTGAGCAGCATGAACATATCAGGGTGTTGTGATGTCATAGAAGCACTGGGTGTATGGTTTTCATTATGTGATTATTTAAATAACGCAATATGTGACCTCATATTGGCAAACGGTACTGTTCCAATTCCTCAAAAAAAGTATCAGAAGGAGAAACTTCAGCAAAGGCCAATTTGCACTTTTTCAGCTGTTTCATGTTTGTTTCCAACGCTCCCTATAGGATAGTATCACATCATGAAGTGCAGTCTTTTTCTCTCTACAGATGCATGTCTGTGCCTCCCTTGTACAACAGTTCTTCCTGGTGATCAACTTCCACCAGGAACAGTTTTTTAGTATTCTGGAGCACTATTGGGCTTTTTGCTGCAAATCTTCTCTGCAAACACAACACCTGATTTTACACAAGCAGGTTAGTTTACTCATCGCAAGGAGTACTGCTCAGCCTGGGAATGCAGATGATAACTCAATCAGGATTTTCTCAGCTTGGAGTCATACATGAATATACATGTTTAACTGAAAGCCTACATTGCAAACTGGGGATGTGATTTAAAATTGTGGGTATTTAGCAGTCAAGGAAGCTCCAAGACACCGAGCAAACATTTCAACCATGAACAAAAAACTCAAAACAAAGTCCTACCTAGACCTAAACCAAACCTGCCGTCAGGGGACTGAAATATACATCCGTCTTTTTAATTTGTTGCAAGTACACAACCTTCACGGAAGTGCAACGCTAAATGGATGAAAGGCTTCTTTAACAAAGGAACATCTCATCCAAACAAGAGGCTAGCACGGCAGTGAAAAATATTATTTGTCTGCATACGTTGTTAACTCACTTCCATTTATTTAGCACAGCGTCCCCAGATGTATCATTCTTTACAAATGGAACTGTGGTTCGTTGGTAAAACAGAGTCGTCCTTTAATCAGAGGATCGGCGGTTTGATCCCCTGCTCTGCTAGTCTGCATGTGGATGCGTCAATGGGCAAGGCACTAAAATGGCTTCTGTAGCTCTGACTACGGTGTGTGTATGGTAGGAATTTTAGTTAGAGTACTAATGGTCAGGTGATGCAATATAAAGTATCCAGTGAGCAGTGGGAATGGGCGGGAAGGGGGGAATTATGACATGTAGTGTATTAGCACTTTGAGTGGTCCGAAGACTAGAAAAGAGATGTGCAAGCACAGTCCAGTCACCATTTACGGTTTCTAATTTTTCAAAAAGATCATCAAATGTTTCAGGTGAGAAAATAACCATTTAGATACCTAATATGGGATTTGTTTGTCCAAATAAAAGCTGGGAGTTGTTAGACCTGCTGGTCGTTGCACAAATAGCACGTGTCGAAAGTGTTTTTGTAGGCTGTGGATATTAAGCATAGGGTATCGAAAAAATTTAATCAGGAACCACCAATTTGACGATCGGTTGATTAGAACACTTTTCACTTTTCACTTTTGCCTGCTGTCCTACCAACCCAACATGCTTGAGTGCTTTTGCATCTTCATAGCAGATAAACTATCTACACCAAGAGAACCTTAAAGTAAAGTCCCTACAAATGTTATGATATGTGAATTCAGGCCAGTTTCATTTGTCGTTCTCCCAGTCGCTGACAGCTGATTGGTGAAGGATGTGGTACTGTAAAACCATCTTGTTGCTACAGTGAAGCGACTGACATTCCCAAATCTCAAACTTACGTAGTACATCATAGAGTCCCTCAACACTACAAACTAATGGTTTAATTTGTTTTAACTAATATAACAATTTTGAATATTATTATGAATACACACTCATCTTTAATACGGCTGTTAAAAATAACTGAGCATTTGTGAAAAAACAATACACAGATACTACTGCAGAGTTTTGCACGCAGGTATCCTGTTTCTCCCTACAATTGTAATTTATTGGTAAAAAGCATTATTTGACTGCCTAACAGCCTGAAAAGGTCTATACGTTTTTGTAAATATGGCAACAGTGATGGTTGGGAACTTCTGGTCAGGTGATTTCCAAGTTTGTCTCTGATTTAGTGGATATAAATAGAATGCTACAAAAGTTTCCCGCATTAAAATCAGTGTTAACATTTGAGAAAAGCACGCCATATGGCAACAGCGGGACTTGATGGATATACACAGCACTCGGATATCCAGCGAAAACATTCCAGCTCAATTTGTAGTGTGAATAATTACTTTGAAAAATCTGCTCATGTGATGACAGTAATTACGGGTGATACTTTATGTGTGGCACGGTATGAATAAATCCAACGAAGGATTTAGTCAGACTGAGGCAGAGGCAGCTTCTCATTGCAGGAATGTTCAAGTGACAGTATCCCTCCATGCAAAAGTTAATGCAGGCAATTTAGGAAGTGAAAAGCACTGAGAATAGACCTTCAGATATTGTCTTCTCGGTGTGTCAAGAGTTAGTCGTATGATGGTGTGGTTTTTGTATTAGGATAAACTGGTCTGTGGACAGCGGCCAATTCATTCTGGATGTACAGATGTTTCACTAGAGGTGGCCGTACCAACCAAAGTATAATTGAATTTTTCACACAAATCACTATAAATGTTGTATTTTGCATCCTGGCTGCATACACAAGAGCATTTCATTAACCATAAATAATGTTCATCTCCCATTTCCTCTGGCAAAGACACATTAATAGATGCAATTGTCATTGTCAAACAACTGACAGTTGGACAATATCATGCAAAACCTTTTTTAATGATTATGTGCCAACATAAAAAACAAGTTGAGCTTCAATCTGTCAAGAACGTGTCTGTTTTTTAGCAGAATTTATATTTTGGTTTAATTTGGTCACCTTTAGTAAATTTGTAAAATGTGCAGGAACTGTATCTCCAACAGCTGAAATGTTCTTTGCAAATTGTGCAGTACTTTACATCTTTTATCAAGAACTTAACTAGGTAGCTATAAAGTCACATGCCCTCTTCCATTGTGCCAAATTCAGGGCTGCTTTTCCTGATATCCTTGAAGTGACCTCATTCAGTTTTTATGTGCATCATAGGACATGAGTATGACATATATAACCAAATCTTATTGGACATTGACTAATTTCCCTGGATTTGTTTTCAACATTTCATGAATAAATGGCAAGAGGGGCCGATGCTGATCTGTGTGTGTCACCTAATCTTTTAATTTGAGATTCAGTTGAATTAGAAATGGAAATGCCAATAATGAAGTGAGCAATGTCTCTCTGTTTGCCTTATCAGCTGCTCTTCCTATTTTCAAATTTGACTGAAAAGAGAAAATCAGACACATTTCTTCTCACTAAAATATTTGTCTTATTTGGATACCAGCTGACATTTCCTACTCCACTCCAACAGGAGAACAGTGGAAGGCATGAAGGCCATACAAAGGGGGAGAATGTTTTAAATAATCCTGCAGACAAGCATAAAGGACTTGCTGTTGCATCACCTGTTTCCCCCCTCGGCCCTTTTACCATGGCAACGGAATGCCGGTTCAGTCGTCAATGTGGGTGTAGAAAGAAGCCTGGAGCATCGAGGAACAAGTGTGTGTTTAGTCGTATTAGAGCCTCGAGGCAAGGATGGGGTCCAGCCCCGAAAGCCCTGTTCTTTCTTTGAGCTGTTTCTCTTTTGATTGTGTAAAGGAAGTAAGTAAGGAATGACTTTGTAAATGCAGCGTTTTGTAAACTGTCAAAGAGCATTTTTCATTGCCAAAACTTCATATAGATTTAGAGTTCCATCCAACTCCTATCAAATGCCTCAAATCTACTCGGCAAGTACGCGCTTGGAGCACATTACAGTTACTTATGGTTTGTGTATGTCGTCTCCCTCCTTTCGTCATCACAGGAACAACAGAACGCGTCTGTCTGATACAGGGTACAGTCGAGGCTCTTAATGGTGTCCATAACTTTATCGCGGAGAAAGTCCGCGAGATGCCCCAGAGCGCCCAGAAACCCGAGCCAGTGAGCATACTGCAGCCGCAGACTACCGTCAACCCAGACCGCGTCAAACAGGTGAGATACTGCACATGCACTGAGGATGTATGTCCTCTGTGTGGTGGGGACGGGTCGCTTCCAGGACACCCTGTTTATTAGTCATCGGCCTCGCTTGTTCTTGGGGCCATGACCCGGAGTCTGGTGAGGTCAGGAAAATGTGAGAGTATGTGGTTATTTTTACCTACAGTCTTTCATAGCAAGACAGAGCTGTGTGGCAGCTGCAGCCTAAACCCCTGGGATTAACAAATCGCTGAGTAAAGCAGGAGCTAGTACAGTACTCAGTGAGAGACGTCCCTCTTTCTGACAACCATTTGTGCTGTTTTCCCTTCCCCCTGTTATCTTTTTAGTGTTACTTCAATCTTTTTCTGTCTCTACAGGCCAAATTGATAGTGCCCAATAGCACTGCTGGGCTGATCATTGGGAAGGGCGGAGCCACGGTCAAGGCGGTGATGGAGCAGTCAGGGGCTTGGGTGCAGCTCTCTCAAAAGCCAGAGGGCATCAACCTGCAAGAGCGGGTGGTGACCATCAGTGGGGAGCCAGAACAGAACCGCAAGGCCGTGGAGATCATAGTGCAGAAGATCCAGGAGGATCCTCAAAGCAGCAGCTGCCTCAACATCAGCTATTCCAACGTCTCGGGCCCAGTAGCCAACTCCAATCCCACCGGCTCCCCATATGCCAATACGGCCGAGGTGTTGCCCAATGCAGCCGCAGCAGCCGCCACCGCCTCTAGCCTTCTGGGCCAAGCCGGCTTGACAGGAATGGGTGGCTTCCCCGCAACCATGTCCAGCTTCTCTGGCAACGATCTGCTGGCCATCACCTCTGCCCTCAACACGCTGGCCAGCTACGGCTACAACACTAACACCCTAGGTCTGGGCCTCAACCCTGCAGCGGCTTCTGGGGTCCTAGCTGCGGTAGCAGCAAGTGCCAACCCGGCTGCTGCTGCCGCAGCCAACCTACTGGCCTCCTACGCTAGTGATGCCTCTGGCAGTGCCAGCCACCATGCTGCGGGCCTTGGGGGGTTCTCACTTGGTTCTCTAGCGGCTGCCACAGGGGCTTCAAATGGTTATCTAAATGCTTCATCCCCACTGATGGCCTCCTCCCTATTGGCAACAGAGAAGCTGGGGGACGGCGCCAAGGACGTGGTTGAGATCGCTGTGCCCGAGAATCTGGTCGGTGCCATTTTGGGGAAAGGAGGGAAAACGCTGGTGGAGTACCAGGAGCTAACGGGAGCCCGCATCCAGATCTCCAAAAAAGGAGAATTCATTCCTGGTACTCGGAACCGTAAAGTTACCATAACAGGGTCACCAGCCGCCACGCAAGCAGCGCAGTATCTCATCAGCCAACGGATCACTTACGAGCAGGGCGTGCGCGCTACCAACCCACAAAAGGTGGGCTAAAAGGAAAAAGAAGAGGAAAGAAGGAAAGGATGAAGACAGAGATAGAAGGAAATTGAGAGGGTCACGATGGATAGAAAAAAGAAACGTCCAAATATCTGTTCAATATTTCCGTATCAAATGAAAGAATCACAAAAGGAGGAGGTGGGGGAGACAACCAAGATAAGTGTGTGTGATATGTGAATGTGTTTTTAGGACTGACGTCCTGATGTTTTTTAAAAGTTTGTGTAGAGTCTTTTTGACGATGGTGATCAGAGTAAGCTGAACAAGTAAACTGCCAAGCTGCAGATTCAAGGGTGAGGCCACAGGGTTTCACCCTCCTCCAAAACCTCATTGCTGTTTTTTATTTCTGGCTTTTGCTGGTTTTAATTTCAGTTGCAAACCTCAGCTCCCGGTGAGTTGAACGATTTGGATGATGCTTCAGCCAACTGAAAGAGCTGTTTTACAAACCTTGCTCTTTGTGTGCAATGCAGATGGCGTTGTGAACAGGGGTGAGGTTTTATGACAAGCACCTGAGGTCATCTCCGTCTACGGGGAAGCAATCTGCGCGTTACTTTAAAGTCATATCATTGACTTCTGTTGAATTCTGGCTCATATCATAATTGAAGTTTCTAAATTTGGGTATTTTATATTTCCATCCTTTATTTATTGACATGGTCTCATTCAAACACAAGTAGATTATTTAAACCTGTGAATGCAGGTTGATCTGAATGTAAAAACAATATTAGCCTATCGCTATTTTTTATTTACAGGGATCAAATATTGTGTTGCAGTGAAGGAAATGTATTACAAAAAAAGGTACTTGGCCTGCACTTCACTGCTGCTGAGTATAGTTCGGGGGTTGAATAATCCACGTGAGAGGACAGAGGGGACACACAGGAATGTATGAATATATATTTTACACGAAACACATCCTCGATGATGCTCCCACAAAGAACGGAAGCACATTTGCATATTCAGTCACAGCTACTAACACGGAAATATGCTGTTTAACCCTTTCCTGGTGCTATAGGATTAGGTTTATATCTCCTTATACCATGAAATGAGAACCCTTGGCGACTATTAAACTAAAAACAACTGATGTGTCATCCAGCCGTTAGCAGCCCATTGGATTTCACCCCTCTCACCTAATAAAAATGAATTATTTCAGACCGTCACGACAAAAAACAATCCAGTCTTAATATCTCAAGTCCATCCTCGCTCCCAATGTAGTTGTTTTTAATTTTCAAAAAATTGACCATTATCTTCATTTTTCCTGACGATACGTTTGCCTTAGTCACGCATTTCCCGAGAATTGACTTAAAGCTCATACTACCTTCAAGCAGTGTCTCACAAGTTCAGTCTGAACTAAAGATGCATTTTGATAAGAAAAGCTGTATGAACCAATATCTGTGAACAAAGAAACTAATGCCTTTACATTAAGGGTACCAAATAGTCAAGAGACACACACTCACACACTAATGAAAGGGAAGTAGAATGACACTTGAGAAGAAGGGTTTGGACTTGCTTTTTTTTCTGGGAGCCATCCCTTTTCCAATTTGCATGAAGACAAAATAAATAAAAAAGATCCAGTTCACCCCGGCAGCCTGTTATCGTCCCCCAAAACACGTTAGCGCTCACTAAGTGCAGCGGTATTCAAACGCCGCGCAATGTTTGGGCGTTGTCTTTACTTTCATGGGCAATCGTTATGGACTGATAGTCCAGAGCCTTTCCCCAAACACTCGAAGATAACCTTGGCTTCCTTCTGTGCTGCTATCCATGGTGTTCATCCTGAGTACACTGGGTCTCTGAAGACTGCACTGTGAGACATTAAGAACACAATGTAAAGCGTGTCTGTGCCCCCCTGGGACATGAGTATATTTTAATGTGCACATCCATGTGACGTAAACCAGACCCCACCAATACGTGATATGTTATATTATCCACAAGAGCATTTATACTCCAGCGTGATGTTTCTGTTTACCAGTACCAATGCACTGAGCTTCAATTAGCGGGCCGTTTTTTTTGTTTTCTTTTCTGATCAGCGAACGTCAAAATATTCCCACCGCACTTTTGTGTTACGTCCACGCTCTAAAGACATCTTTCAATTGTCCCCATCGACCCAAGCTCTATGACCAGCTTCCTGAATTCACGGCTGTGAGGGTTGGCGCTGAGAAGTGTCCCAAGAAATTCAGAACCTCTCTTGTTTGTGTTGTTTCCTTGGAAAATTGAACTAATGGCCTTTTTCATTTTCATAATTCACGTTCAAAGATAAATGGAATCGAGCCGAGCATTGGGACACAGAGCCTTTACTTCCAAAACTGAAATCTCTCCCTTCACCGCGCGTCCTGAAAGGCTTTTCCGCTCATCCATAACTACAATCTGGCCACTAGCGAAACCATAGCGCACGGATAACCTTTTACTGCCCAGGGTTTTTAGCATATAATAAGATACAAGCACAAAACAAGGGAATGTTTTATCAATGCAACTGGGCTGCTTGACTGCAAGGGGAGGGGCTCTCCGATCATGACGTTGTGCCAAATGCTATTTCTCTCTGCCCTCTCATTGACCTTCTTCTTTCTCTCAGCATTCTTATACCTCCTGCATGTTGCTGTTTCTCACCAACCCGAGACCCGATGTGTCCGAGCTTCTTCCTACACTTTCCTACTCTCCCCCTCTTTCTCCTCTCTCCCCCCAACTTCTTGTCTTCTCATGGGTGGCACGCTGGCGGTGGGAGTTATGCACTATAGGTCATAAGGGTATGAAAATATTTTCCCAAGCCGTAGAGTTCACAAGGCTAAAAATGCACAGAAAACACCTGCCTCTGAAACTGTGACACCCACGAGACCAACCAGCAAACGTTAGCTCAAAGTATCAAATTTCCTCGTTAGAAGAAGAACAAGCGTGTAGACCGTGAACTATTGGCCTTTTGAGGGAAGTGTTGTTGTTTTTTCTCTTTCACAAGAAGACAAATTAGATATTAACATGTCGGCTGAACAAACTGACCTCCAGTTTCCAGTCACTCAAAACAAAGCGCATGAAGGAACGGAACTCATAAGATGGCGCGAGCAAGGCGAGAAACGTGTTTGTGACCTCAAGCTGAAAACAATGACATCCTTTATGCATATCCTCTTATCTGAAAAATGACTACAAATCATTTCTGTGGAAATACAATATGTCATGTCATATGATCTATATGTACTTTATTGTAGCTATTCTAGTTTGTAGTCCAAATGCAGTCCAGCGTTGTCGATACAATGTGAACTATGTTATATTTGTGTGGATGATGAGAGTGCCAACCAAGCCTGATTAAGATTAGCTTCGCGATTTGTTTGTGCATTATGATGACTCATCATCAACCGGTGGTGTCCATATTTCTGTCATGATTTAGTTTGACAGTAAGAAAATGTAAAGAATATTGGAAGCAATATAGTAGCATGTTGTCCTGTTTTGTGTTCAATGTCTGTTGTATGAACCTTTGAAATTACTAAAATTTTGAATGAATAGGTTTACATGTACTTTTTGTAAGTTATGAAAATGCTGCTATTTGATAAGTAAACTATACAAAAATATTTTAGTTGAAAAGATGTCTGGTCTGTTGATTAGAAACATGCTCTAAAAGGCTGGAGCATAAAACGAGGTGTATAGAATGCTATACAGTATTGGTAAGATAGTAAAGTAATAATAGACTCCATAGTACAACCTGTGCCAAACTAGACCTCCGCAGCTGAAAAGTGTAGATGTGATCAAATGTTAGATAACTTGTTTAGAAGTGCTGATCAAGTGCCAATCAAACACTGTCTTTTAAGTTAAGAAAAAGATAATCAAACACATGACTTAAGAAAAGCAAAGGACAAAGAACCTTTTTGTGCATTGTTTTATCCCATAGGTACATAGACTAAGAGTTAAAGATTGTGATTTTTATGGATCCATGTTGTTTTACACTTCATGCATCCCTTGTGTGTTTGTTTGACCTGTGGCTTAAGTACTGCTATATCACAAAATGTCTCTATAGGCCAGCATGGACTGAAGCATAACATGTTATAAGCATTCATAACATACCATTAACAATCAAAAATGTGTTTGTGGAGTTAGGTGTTATCTTTTTGCACGTCTTCTATTGCATGGTATCAAAGTAAATTATGGAGAAAAAAAAGCTACAAAAATCTGCGAGGCGTCTCTCGCAAACATTCAAAGACATAACGCTGCATGTGGTCAAATGTAAAGCACTTAAGTTTACTCGCCTCATGTTGAAAAAAAAAAGAGTTGTTTTTTATGTTGTGAGTTGGGAGGGAGATCATTATTGTCATGTTGGCCCGAATAAAAAGACACACATCCACATCTAAGATCAAATCCTCATGAATCAAGTTCATGTCTCTGCACATCATCCAAGAAGATGTTTATATTTTCAGGTACAGTGAGGAGTATTAAAAATGTAAAACAAGCAAACGTGAAAATGTTATTCAGTGCATTGGCTCCTTGTGTTTTTTTTGTTTGTTTTTCAGGATATCGGGCATGCATTTCTTTTTACAAACGGATTGAACCTCTATGAACCTGACCCATAATGTTTCTGGATTTTTCTTTTCACAGCTTGAACGCCCAGATCTAATCTATGAATGTACCCATTAACTCTTTTTTTGCTGTCAAATGTTATATCAATCTTTAATGTAAATTCAGGGCAGGAATGTCAAATACATGTAGAGTTAATATCTATGTCAATAACAGATTTCAGCTATAGTCAGGTAGGCCCTTATGCGGCCACAGTCATGATCCAGATATGTTTTTAACACAACTTCCGATTTGCTGTCAACATTATCTTGTTTGTTTGGTGTTGCATAAATGCACTTTACTGATCAGTGGGGTCATACTGACTGTGAAATGAAGCAAACCATGTTGGCTTTTAACAGTTTTTTTTGCCAGTCTTTTTTGCTCTGATGTAACTTTTATTTCTTATTTTCCTTTTCCTGTATGGTCTCATGAATGATGGAAGAACTAGAGTCTCAGACAATAGTGAAAAGTAGCACCCGTTTCCTCACTTGAAGGCATCTCCTTCACATTCCCTTCAGCAGAGGTTTGTGTTAATCACCGAGGGCTTTTTCTTTTCTGTTTTTTTTACCAGTGTGTGAAACAAGGAGGGGGCTCTGTAGGCTTTGGGCACTTTTGTGTGCTCTTTTACTTTGAATTACAAATTTAGAAAGAGGGTTTCCATTTCTCCAGCAAATTGGGATTAGGCTGAAGGCACCCGGTTCCTGTCTCCTACAAAGTTATGTTTCAATCCAACTAAACTACGCTGACACTCACGTTCAGAGAAATCTCTTTTTCTCCCGGATTACAATTGCTGTATTGAAACGGTTTGGCTTAAAGTTGTTTAGTTATTTTTAATTGAAAACTCTAAAACAGAAAGTAGATGGTTCACATCTCACACAAATACCATTTTTTTTGGATGAACGTCATGTACGCCTTTGACCCATTGCCCCTTTACATCTCCTCCTTCTGAGGACATATTTCTGAAATGTCAAAATCAAACGAAACCCACGACAGTCTGCATAGTTCACCCTGCAGTTTTGTTGTGTGGGAGCGTGCCTTTTAGGAGACGGGTGTGGGGCTACGGTCAGATTAGAGACACGTAATCGGCACCAGCAAAGTGAAGATTGCCACCTCAAAGTGATACATATGACAGAGAAAACCCATTAGACTTTGAGTGGTAACGGCTTGCTTAGTGTCGATCCATATTTCTCCTATTATTTTGTGTCACAGACCCCTGTCGTTGCATTTACTAATTCACATCTGAATGTGCCAATTGAACTACAGTATCATTCCAAAAGTTGTTGTTTTTGTTTTAATCCTCACTCCAAATGCGTCCTGGACGTTCATCTGCCCCCCGCAGAGCCCTTTCACAGGACGGCTAGGACTGGTTTTTAAATCACTTCAAACTGAGGAGGACTCCTCGCTCTTCTCTTAAACAACCTCTTCTCTCTGAGTGTCACTCTCTCAGTCTACCGGACATCACCATTTGTTTTCCGTTGCACCGAGCACCTGCTACTGTGTCCGCCCTTTACGACGGAATAAGGTATTTCTGAGCCCTTTTGTCTGAGAAAATGTGGGATTTTTTTGCCAACCTGACATGAGGCCATTTTTGTCTTTTACCCTCTAAACCTCCCATGAACTTAGTTGACCGTCTCCATCTACAAGAACTCATTCATGTATATGTTGGATATACTCTGCGAGGCTGGTTATCTGGACAATTCTGCAGGGGTTGAATGCTTGCTTAAGTGTAAACTGAAGGGAGCAGGCCAATACCCTGCAACCATTTCCACGGCATGGTATATTTTCTTTAAGTTTTTTTTTTTTTTAATTCCTTAAACCTCTGTTCTTTCCATATCAGAGAAGAAAAAAATGGACTGACAGCATAAGATCAAATATTCCAACATAGGAAAAAGTGATGTTTTCCGGTTGACTGGGTACATTTCTATTGTCTTTTGGCAACAATGGTTCTGTCTCTTGTTTGTGATGATAACAATCTGTGAAAGTCCACAGTGTTAACTATAGAAAGGGCTTTCAAAGACAGCTTTTACATGTCTTTTAAAATGAACCTATTCAGAGATTAAAGGAAAAGGTCTTTTGTGCCATTTTGGAAAAAAAAAAAGTGCAAGACAAATATTTGTCAGCGAGAGTGCCAAATAATTCCACACTCAGCCAAAATGCAGCCAGCTTACATAACTTAATATTAGATCACTGGAATGGTTACATCCCATTTCCTCTCCCCTTGAAAATGTCACTGTAATTGCACAATGTTTGAGCTCATGTACCATTATTGTTATGCTGCCAGTCTGTTTTCTGCTTTTGTCAGGAAAACTTCTCAGAAGTAGTATATTTTCTAAATGACACACTGTTGGTGAGGAAAATGAGAGGATTTAAAAAGTGTCATTGTTTTTATTATTAGTTTATTTCAACATTATTCATTAATAGATTTAACGGTAATGACTATTTAATGTAACTGTAGTACTGTGTTTGTAAAGAAATTCAGTGAGTTGTGTTTTATGACTCGTGGACTACCAGTGAAGTCAGCATTTCAGTGTTAATAATTGAATTGTTTTTTAAAGATTATTTTTGCGAAGGCAACAAAGAGTCATTATAAATGTTCATTTTAACATCACTTGTCTTCTGTTCCTTTTTTCCTTGTCTCACTCGAGTGATCGGTCGAGTGGTTACACAAATGCAACCGGCACACTATATGAATTGATTTCTTTAGTGCTAAGTCGCAGAATGTTTTGTGTGTTTACATGAACACGATGCCTCTATAAGCAGGAGTCCGATTGTGGCGCCACAGCTATTTGATTAAATACATCATCATTTTCACAGCTGGTTTACATGAAATGATTTGATGGTTGGGTTTGTTTCATAGAAATAGAATAGGAGAGGAACGTTGCTGTGGTAATAGAGTGCAACAGGAAAAACAGGAAATGAGTCAGCAGAGTTTCCTCGTCTCCAAGTCCACGGGTATTTCAATGTCTTTTGGTTAGATGTCTGAAATAATATGTTTCTTTAAAAAAGCGTTTACTAACAAGTGTCTAAATGAGGCGCCCAAACGTCCTCCCTAGAACACTAGTGTCTTTAGTTTAGCGGAGGAAACCTGGAGTCATGATTTGGCCGTGGGTGTAGTTTGTTTATAGTCTGACGTTAGTTTGACTTCTGGTGATGTATTTACAATTCAAAAATCATTAAAGTGGATTTTTTACACAAAATAAGCGTGTTTGCCAGAGAAATTATTTACTGCAATAAACTCAAATCCAATGGGAAGTCCATTACTTCTTGTTGAGAGATCCAATGTGATTCTAACTCCTGGATTTGACTTGAAAAATACATCTTCTCTGCAACACTCTACCTGACTAGGACAAAATAAAATAGTGATGGAGCCAAATCAACATTGGTTAAGGCCAATTCTACTTTAATTGTTACATACTGTTTCGCTCCTAATTAGTGTTACCCCTTCCCGATAACCGAACAAATGAGTGGGACTATACACGCACAAACCGGACGCTGATGCTGTGGGTAGACGTTAGATAACACACGTAAAAATGGCCGCCACTCTGACCACCAAGTCCATGTGGACGGCAATGTCCGATCTACTGCTACTCTATTTCATTGACCTGACCAGTGGGGTTAGATAACGGACACTTCATTTAGTACCTCATTGGGCTAAAAGGTGATTCTGTCTTTGTTGAGTAGCCCTGACTTTGGTCAGAGCCCATTTACAAACCTGACCATTTATTTAGTTTTTTCCAAAGGTTGGTAATCTTCAACAACCTTTTTGTCTTAATTGTTGAAATTCATTGAATACCCTAACCATCAAAAACTCTGGTATTAGTGGCTGTCCTAGGACTCGAATTGACTTGAATTGATTTCATTTAGCCCGAATGTAACGATTGGAAGGTCTACCTGCTTGTCAACCTACATGCCAGCTGATCGCATTCTGTTCACGGTCTCATTGCCCACCGTTCTTCCACAAACTGCTACTTGGCCAACCGTCAGTACTAACAACAGCTATATTAGTTGTCAACATTTATCATGATCATTTTGGGCGGGTGGCTTTGTCAGGAAGCTGGAAGGGGCTGTCGGTGTTGCCGGCTCTTGCTAGATTGACTGACGTTCGAAGCTAATGCTGCTAGGTACTTAATTGGAAAAGCGTTGGCAACACTGTGTTGGGTTTGTAGTCGGGATACTTTAAAAAAAAATCAAGCATACTATTGCTGGATTCTCAACATTACCAAACCTTTAGCTTCACGCCATCACCCTAATGTCATGCAAGTCACATGCCATCATTCATAGCAGGTATTCTTACTATGTTCACCATCTTAGCTGAGCCCTGACACACTGATACTGATTATAACAATTCATCCTGATGGAAACATGAATGATGTCCCTCAGGATGATGAACATGTTTGAGTCTCTATATTATTCCAGGGGGCGGTTTATTTAACTAGCATCTGATGTTAAATACACGCCAATAATAATATTTCCATATCAGCCATGCATAGCACAAACAGGGATGATCAATATATACTGTGCTGTGAGCACAATTACTGGGTAGAATTCAGAAGTTTTGCAACACATCAGACCACCGTGACTTTAAAGCATCGCTGTCGATGAGCCACCCAGCACACTCCTCCTACGCTGTTTGACATCATCCAGCAAATACATCCCTAATCTTCTGAGCTCGGTAACACAAGTGAGAGAGGTGATCTCGCACACGCACACACACACACACACACACACACACACACACACACACACACACACACACACAGGGCAGGATACTGAGTGCCCACTTCATTCCTTCTGGGAATCAGTGATGTTTCATCAACCCCGAACTGCAGTTTACATTTTTAAAACACTCTCCTATATAAACTATGGCCTGCTGATCGTTTTACATTAGACGCTTTTAGCTGACACTTTCAACTTGCATAGCATTTTTTAACCCATGGTTTTTACATTTTACCAAGGAAGCAAGCTTAGAGGTTGGGTGTCTTGCGCAGTGACACTCCTACATGGGTCATGAAGCAACCAGGGTTCAAACTGCCAACCTTGCAGTTCCCAGCGCATCTTCTCTACTCCATGCGCCACCGCATTTGTTCTTCTTCAGAGTAGCACACAATTATTTTTGTAAAAACCTGAATGCACAGACCCAACCTCAATATTTTGGAGAGATTCCAGGACTCTTAACATGTAATGCTAATTTTATAAAGATGACTTTGCAGATTTCCCTGACCGAGACCCAAACAGCTAATGGACCTGCGCTGTAGAAAGCTTGAACAACAATCATCAGAATGACTAACTAAACTGCAATTACACAAATGCAGGCAGTGGATATAGTAACTAGCCTGAGGTCACTGGTGTTTTGGGAATAAAATGCTTACAAACCAAAAGTACCTGCCTTTACTGAAATCTAAATATAAAATCGTTTTCAATCTCAACCGATCCTTGAGGTGTAAAATCTTACAGCAGTATACATTCAAGGCACAGTCGATTCCTGCTGTGAGAGAGGGCAGCAATGGGCTTGAATGATAAAATTGCGTTGTCAAGGTAACAAGTTGTTCTGAAGACTGCAAATATGTCGCACTGAGGGATGCTCCTATATTTCAACCTGCAGCCTCCGTAGCACTGAACCACAGCGCCTCTGCATTTCAGTCTCTTAGCGATGAGCAGGTGACTGCAGATATGATATGGCTTGCATTCATAATACAGAGATATTTGATTGCTGTTCTATATTCATCAATGTCATTGAAATTCTTCTTCTGGAAATATCATTTGTAAAGCAAAACCATTATAGCCAAACCTTGAGGTGGCACCGTGGTTTTCTTTGAAATTATGAATGAGGGAAAAAAGGTGGGGACTGCTGGAGAATACAGATACACTGACTGAGGCACCCTTTAACATGGCTCGTGATGTAACCATGGATACCTCTATTTTGTGGATGGAGTAATTTTAGCTGGAGTGGGATCTGAAGGACAGATATCACTGTTTCTGCTCTGGAACATCATACATTATCACATCTACAGCACCAGGTTACACTCAAGATATATTGAAACAGTAGTTTAAGCCTGTTTATACTGTTTGGCAGATTATATGCAGCACGTGACGAACCATGAATTTGATGAATATTTGCAGAGACAAACTCAGGGGGAAAATAACACACCTGTGATAGCTGTGACTGTCCTGAGATGTTGTCACAGGTTCTTCATCCCAGGAGGTTTTGGGGGGCAGAGAGGTGTTTTAAAATGGAATAGGATTTGTTGTTTGTAGACACGCTGTCAGGTGTATTTCTGGATCCTGAGTGGGATCTAGTAGTAGTGAAACTTATCAGTTGGCCAGAGAACAGGGGCAGTGTCTGCACTTTCACATTGAGCACAGTGCCAGCAATGAGGGATTAAGAGAAGACGTAGCTCTACGATAACAACAGAGCAGCCCTGAGACTTCAGCTCAAGAAACAACAGACCTTAGTGTCAAAATACTCTTCTGTAAAATTGGGCAATTGTTGTAATTGTTGTTATACTGGCATACTTAATTTCAGCCATGTTAGCAGGTGTTCAGGTGATTCCATGCTTGATGTCAATGTATCAGGTTGTTTTCGAGTGGTGTGGGGGGAATTTGTCGGGGAAGATATTTTTGTAATTAATCAGGAACGTTGGTTTGACTAAAACTGAACGCCAACTTCCATATCACTTTGTCAAAAAACCTACAGACACAGAGCTTCACAGGCCTGACTTGAATGTAGCACTGCAGACAAAGTGGGTCACGTCAGCAAAGGAAAACAGTGACATCAGCCATAGCAACGCTGAGCTAATCGTAGACAGAGATACATATATAAATGCCCTGGACCTATTTTTTTGCACACTGAATACGGAATCTACAGTAACGTGTGTGCTGTAATTCAGCTCAGTCAAACGCTCTCTGGCTCCACTTGCTGGCATTGTTCAGCCATCACATTTCCTACACACTATGAAACCAAAAACTTGCTGGTAAAATGACAGTTTTCTCTGTTAGTTCAACTTGTGTTCTGTATTAAGTCCTATGTTGAGCCAATTGAAACCTGATGGAGGATTGGTGCCGTTTTGGGCCTCCTGGGTTGTGTAGAGCTGAGGCAGAAAAACAGACTTATTTGGGCCAATATAGAAATTATTCCTGTTACCCTATTTTTATGCATGTTGGCCAAAGACTTTTGTTGAAAGGCAAAGTACAGCTTGCATATTAGCCCGTTAAAATTACAAAGCTATCAACCTGATTAATCTTCCTGTGGAGTGAAACTTGGCAGAATGATCACACCATGTGGTTTTGTGGCTTCTTTTTTAGTCTTTTTGGGGGAATTTGTGTCCCTCTGTTGTTGGGTCGACATTAGAGAGATGAAAGAGAGATGGAGATGAACAACAAAGGATCCCCGTCCAATCCAATATGGCAGGGAATTGCCGGGAATCTGGAAAAGTGTACCGGTACAATGTAAATGTAGTGCTTTTGAAAATATTTACAATTGTAAACCCCTGCACTGCACTGTTATTTTCAATGCATTTCCTACAACTGCAAGTTCATTGGACCATTGTGCTGTCAGTTGACAATCGTTCCCAGTCATCAGTCAATCCTTCTGTGCTTTATCCAAGTCAAAAAGAATACATGAGCCCATATCAATAAGATCCTCTAGGCCCTCAAACAACCAGTAAACCAATTATTGTTGTATAACTAACTTGAAGTATAGGCACACCATAAACCCCCAGCTACACTATTATACAAACTATACATTATTTAAAATGCTACGTTGAAAGCAAATACATTATGATCAATAATGGGAGCAGTAAATATTGTGGCGTTACAGGGCCAGTGTACACCTGATCAGCGAGTGACGTCAGATCTACAATAATTTGAGAATTTCTATTATTTGAACGCCTTGTAGCTTAACTACATACACATGTCTTTGGTATATACAACTGTTGTACATGAATGCATCCATCGCCTTCTTTTCACAAAAAAATCGCTTGTAATTTACTCATAGCGACCACCAAGGACATCCTAGAAATGTGTGAGGTCCTTGTGAATCACGTGACGGTAATGCACTTCGATTGCGTCGTTTAGTGGTTGGCTCTGCACCAAGGAGTGGACTCTATTTAATACAATATTTTCTGGCAGAAAAAACTCACATACTGCACTAAGCAAGAGAGCAAGCCGACAATTGCGCAGTCTGCGTTGGCCGGACTCATCTCAATGAAGTGTATCGCGTCGCCTCGAGCCAATCGTTTTCTGTACCGAACCTGACGCAAAGGCGGAAGCGACTGTCAGAGTTCATCTTGCATCCAGTTACTCTTTGTTGGGCGTTTCACGGACCATCCTGCAAACAGAGTTTATTGCAACTCGCCAACTCGCGAACTCAGCCAACTATCCTGCTTCCCTCGACAGAGTGCTGTCTGCTCAAGGTAATATCGAATATAAGCGTCAAGTTTAAGTATTCTTTAACTTTAAAGGTGACTATAAAGGATGAGGTGTTCGATAACGCACGTATTTCCATTTGTTTCCCAATACGACAGATAGTTAGCTTGATTTTAGCTTAGCTAAAACACAAGTTAGCTAACGTTTGCGCATTTAACGCACATTTTCTGCGCACCTGCGGCTGCGGTGTTACACCAGCTAACGTCACATGCGTGATTGAGGCAGCCCGTAAGTTGATTTATCGCTACGTGGACGCTCCAGGCATTACAATTTAACGCCTAGTTATCACAGCCGCGTTTGAGGTTCAGGATAATATGTTATAATGATTCATCGAGATTACCTGTTAAACGGCTCTGCTTCTCGCAATAAGAGGCGGGAGTAACACGCTTTCCAGTACAGGAACACATTTTAAAGGGGGGGGGGGGGGGGGGGGGGACTGACAGGACTGTGCTTTCCAACACGTAAGCTCAACCAGTCGTCAACACAATTGCATTGTTATATTTTCACTTAAAACATAATCTGGGTTTCCTTCTTTACCGAGTTTAAGAGAAATGCCTGCTCTAGGTTAGGTGATTGTTTAACTGCTAATTATTTTGACTCTACTTATGGCAGAGTATTATATAATCCCATCTATACTTGTAAATCACTCTAATTCCTGTTTTCTTTTTGCCACAGTTAAAGATGTTTTTGGCCCAGAAATTCCTCAGTGGCGTCATCAATGTTGTCAGGTGAGAATCTGCGCGTCAGTCCTACGCGTCAAAAAGAAATGTGCTTTGTGAATTAACCTCTCCATTTTGTATCTGTAATAGCAACAACATCGACCAGTTTGTGCCCACTGATCCTGTGAGTGATTTGACATTAGATAACCAGCTGGATAAGACTGTCGCTGTCTTACTCACTCTTGATTGTATCGTTTGCTGTGACTCTCCCACAGCCGCCACCGCGCAGGCCAGCTGTGTACGCCGAGCAGCATGAGAGCAACGAGGAGAAACAGTTCCGCCGGGTCTTCCAGCAGCTCGCTGGAGACGTGAGTGCTCTATCTATGTGCCTCCGTTGGGTTCTGCACTAATCTAAATAAATATTCAACTTCATTAATAGCAGTACATGTCTAAAGTGAGTTTTAAACAGTTAACACAACATGTCTAAAACATACATTTTTCAGTTAAGAATCTGTACTTGTTTCCGATAACTGTGATGTTCACATTGTAAAATCTTTGTCCTATAGGACATGGAAGTGAGCCCCAAAGAGCTGATGGACATTCTCAACAGAATTGTTACAAAGCGTAAGATGTGTGCCTTGATGAATATTTGACAAAGATACTCACCTGCCAATATTGTATATGTAGGGCTTTTTAAGTATGTTTAGAACAGATCAACAAACTAAGCTGCCTTTCTGCCATTTAACAGCCATGTTCTGTGTCAAAGTGTTCATGATGGAGACTGTGTGTGTGTGTGTGTGTGTGTGTGTGTGTGTGTGTGTGTGTGTGTGTGTGTGTGTGCACACAATTATTTACTTGTGATATAGTCTGTTGCAATACTTTTACACACTTTAATGTTTCTTTGAAAAGAAGATTGCATCATAGTAACCCGGGTTTGTTGGGATTTCAGATGGAGACCTGAAAACGGGATGGTTTCAGCATTGGAGTCTTGTAGAAGCATGGTGGGCAGTCATGGATGTATCCTTTCTATTGTTGCTGTGTGTTTGCGTTGTGTGATCCAGACAGGTGGTATGAAGATGACTACCGGCACAGTAAAAATACACACGCACGGCCGCTATAAATAGGGATGTGTTGGCTCACCGGACTCCGTCACACCCACACTTCACCGTGGATTATTATTACTGATTTGGACATTCAAACCGATTTTCCCAAATGGGCTGAGTATGTTCCCCTTTTGTCCTTCAGTGGAGGGTGGAGGGGGGTAAAAGTAGGGTTGCAAAGGGGTAAAACATTTTTGGGAACCTTTCCATGGGAAGCTAAGCTCGGGAATTTTCCAGATGATAGGAATGTTTGCATGCATGTCCTCTCAATTCCCGTTAAAGTTTCCAACTTTTAATATTCCCGTAATTTTTTTTAGTAAGGCAGCACAATCACTAAAATTTAAGCAGCCTGTCAAAAGGACCTCTGACAGAGTTGGGAGGGTGGGGGGAGGTTGAGTTGACAGTCATTCCCTACTGGGAATTCTTTACCACACAAATGAGGAAGTCGCGTAAAATCCTGCCGTGGGCAAATACAACGTGCCCAGGCTGTTTGTTTAAGATGGCGCCGAAGAAGAATGCGTTGTTGTCTGTTATCCTTAACGCTTGTTACAGAGCGACAGCACTGGTAAACTTGGATTTCATGAATTCAAACAGCTCTGGGACAACATAAAGAAATGGCAGGTAAGCATGTATTTCATTAACGGCTACATTTTACAGATGCAAACATCTGAATTATACGTTTATTGAAGGATACGTTATCAATGTGGAACGGATTATTTCATTTGTTAATAAACAAGATTGTTAAAAATGTGTCTAATGCTTGACTCGGCTTGTAGAGACAATGTCCCAGCCTAAACATTAAAAACATCTTTATTTTATTGCTTAGGGAGTGTACAAAACGTACGACGCTGATTGCTCCGGTCTCATTGGTGCAGATGAGTTGCCCAACGCGTTCAGAGCTGCTGGTGAGTGTCTCAGTTTGTTTTATTTCCCCCATCGTTTAAACTCGCCGCTGCTGAAAGGATGCAGTCAAAATGAAACTTCATTCATGCCGGTAATGTTTTTTTTTTTTTTTTGTACAATTGCCAAGACACCAGAAAAGATAAGCACATTTCAAAACACACCAAATATCCAGCAACGGTTATCTAGGTTAAACTTTTAACCCTAGTGTGAACCACAATAAAGAGAGGACTGTGTTTGCATTAGTACTGTGATTCATGTCATCAGGGGAAGCCGTAGCTTCTGATACCATTATAAGAGTATTGAAGACTTTCCGGTATAGTCGATATTTACAGCAGGCTACAAAAGAAGATAGATGAGAGTGCAGTCTGCTTGTGCGGTTTACTCTTTACTAAATAACATTTTTCAAAAGAGTTGATAGGGTTTGAATTATATTTTTTTTCCTGTGTTAGTTTCAGAAAAATGTGTTCTTAGTTTATGCAAAAACCTGTAAGAGCCACAGGTGCAGCAACAGTCACGAGTACATAACTGGAAACCGGGCTTTTGATTAACCATCAACAGTTGTGTGGCTCTCTTGTTTAAACAGACGATGGAAAGTTGTTTTTTATTAGACTGAAAACTACATTGTAAAAGATCAATAAACCATTATAGTTTTTCTGGTATAATATATAATGTTATCTGGTCAAGATGAGTGAACACTAGTTACACACACAAAACCTCTGTTAAAATCTTTGAGCTGCTTAAAATGATTTGATTATCACACTGGTGTGAATATATTTGTGTTATGGTCTTCTGCTCGTCTCGTGCCCAGGCTTCCCCCTCAATGACGAGCTGTTCAGCATGATTATCCGCAGATACAGCGACGAATGTGGCAACATGGATTTTGACAACTACATTGGCTGCCTTGTCAGGCTGGATTCCATGTGCCGTAAGTTTCAAAGACTAAGGCCCCGTTTCAATTACGTTGATCATTTTCAGGACAAGATTACAGTTTATTTGGCGCTTAAGAAACGTATGGATGTTTCATGTTTCAATTGATTGTATTATTCATAATAAGAAATTCATACTAGTCCGCCCATACACAGATTCACACACGCATATTAAAACCCCTAGTTCTATACATGTATATACACATTCAGTTGAGATCATTATTTTTGCGAGCAAGATCTCATTGGATGATGCTTTCCATTAAACCTACTGCCAAGGGGCACATTTAAAGAGGTATAAACAGAGTCATTGAGGGGATGTGGCACTTAAAATGACCCTTTACATTTTTCTAACACTTAAGCATTTAACTTGTCGGCAATATTGTGCCGTGCTTCTTGTCTTGCCCCTCACCACGCTTCAAAACCCTGGATAAAGATAGCAACTGCCATGATTATTCAATTTATTTTATTTTACATAGCCCAAAATTGCAAATTTGCCTCAGAGGGTCTGTACACATGCGACATCACCGCTCCCGAAACCCGGACATCGGCACAGAGAAAACTCCCCAACAAATGAAAAGCCCTTTGATGGGAAGAAAAAAAGTGCAGCCTTAGTAAGAACGGCAGAGGAGGATCTCTCTCCCAGGATTGACTGACTGCCATGGATGCCAGAAAATTATTATTAATGTACATATTATGGTCTTGAATTCCTCATATACGTTCATGATCATTTCCTGCCCGTCAGCAGAGAGAAAAAAAGTATTTCTTTGATTTCTTTTAGCCAACTTACTGTTAGAAAATCATGGTTTCGGTGATTGACTCTTTGCCCTTTTGAAGCGCGTTCAGCCGTTGAGAAACTGAGATAGTCTGACTTCAATCATCAAGTTAATTTAAGCTGGCTAAAAAGATATTTGATCAACTTAGTTGAACCATGTATGTAGGCTGAAGTAAACTGAATAGTTTAGAAATACAATAAAGTACAAATATTTAGTAAAAATACAACCGCAATATGAAAATGCTTAAGCATGAAACATAGAAAAATTATATTACGTATGACATTGAGAGGGATTTTGTCAATGATATTGAAAAAGTAGAAAGTTCAAATGTCTAAGACACGGTCAGCACTAATATCCTTTTCAATGTACGGAACATACAGAGGAAGTTGTATTGCACATACAATTAAAATGTAATATTGTAGAATTTTTTTTTTTTGTTGTATTATCCGGATTTCTTAGCTGTCCTTTCTGCAGAAGGGGGAGAAGTCGTTTATGAAAGTTTGACAACATTTGTTCTGATTCAGGTGCCTTCAAAACCCTGGATAAGGACCACAATGGGACTATCAAGGTCAATGTTCAGGAGGTAAGTAGGTCCCAGCTATTTGACTCCTCTGTGAGAATAGTCTGATTCAGAGAGCTAAAGTCCCCCTCTTCTCTTTTGTGTCTTTTCAGTGGCTTCAGCTGACCATGTACTCTTGAGTCCAGACAACGACGTCCCTTCTGCTTGGAACCACTTCTTTTTTCTGTTAGCACAAAATATTTTCTCTACCATCCCCCCAACTACTGTTATTGATCAAATCCTTTGTGGGTGCAGGTTTCTTTTTTAAATGCAACTCAACGCAGGTGTGGTGGGATTGTTCGCTGCTCCATTATACCTACAGGACAGAAAATCCTGCTTTGAGTAACCCAGAAAAGTAAAAACCTGCACTCTCCACTCGTTTGGCTTTTGCTCTTCCTCGTGCCTGAGAGGGGGCAGACACACATCGAGATGTTTTATACGCAGTGAAATTTGGCGGAAGCTCCCGTATGTACGCGGCTGGTCTCACAAAGATTGTATGTATAGTGGCATTCGTGGAGGCAGGCCAATAATATTTTTACTCTTAAGACTGTTTAACCCCCTAGGAATTCGAAGTTGGACAAATATGCAAGTTTTTTGGCCACCCACCACTTTCTACTTGATTGAATCCTTCAATCCTCAGAACGATGTGGGCAGGTACAGATGCGTTGTTATTTTGTCTGTCACACCTTCAGGCTTCATATGAACACACCAGATTCATTTCGGAGAATTTCTTGAGCTTGTCCAGATCCGTTCACACAGGAGAATCACAAGAGTGTAAGTTGCCTCGCCCTAGCAGGTGCAACAACTTTTAGAGGAGTGTCTGTCAGTGTGTACACACCTGTGCAGATCAGAGAAGATGTCTAAAATTGGGAAAGCGGGTTTAGGTTCACCTTTTCTTTTACAGCACCGTCAGATAGATTTGTGTAAAACTTAAGAGCTCTAGCTTTTAAGTTGTTTAGTCTAACTCTCCATTCTCCACTTTTTCCACTGTCTGGGATAGGTGTTCGGTAAGGGTGCGTCTTTTGCAAAAATGACGGTTTAAAGAAATACAAACTTGGCATTGTGTAATGTGTGGAGCCAGACCTTTTCTTTAGTGCCGTGTTTGTTAGACATCAGTGGTCTCTCATTCTTGTGAAACCAGCCACTAGCCTCACTAACTGGAGATTCTTGTTCACCAAAACAGTATGGGACAGCTCGCCATTATTTTACTGAAAGAAAACTAAGTTAGATATGTGAATAATGGTAGGCTTGCACTGCAGATCATTGCAAGCAGGCCATGGTTCAATCCTTTATATCAGACATGTATTGCGGCGAGTACTGCAAATGTCTTCTACTCAAACATTAACATCCCAAGAGGCATTTCTTAATTTAGACATGCTAATATTTTGCCACGACTCCTTTAGCAGTTGCTGTATTGTTTTAAAATGACTGCACTGGATAACGCCAGCACAATCCATAAATTGGTAATATATAAGGTGTATGCCACTAATGCATGCGGCCAATAATTCTTAACTATTTAGTTTTAGCCGCAGCCATTAAAATGTCACTGAATAATGATTTGTGAAATAAATACCTGTGCCATATTTGGGTTGAAAAGAGTACCGTAAATGTGTTTTTCTTTTTTGTGATGCAGTACGAACAGTTGTTGCAGTCTACTTTTAGTCATTGACTAATAGAAACTCCTTCGGGCTGAACTGGGATCTGCCCCAGCTTGACAATGGCTAGAATTACATTTAAATGGCATCCAGCCCACTTTATTTTGCTTTGATAACAATAAGCTCTTGCAAATACGTGCAGATTGGTGCAGAAGTGTTAAAACTGTTTAAAATTCATCCTTCGTGTGTATTTGTGCGACCGAATCCTAAAAGTTTTTAAACCAATGAGTTGTTCCTTTGATGAAATGCTACGCATTGTTTATGTAAGTATGTGTGAGGACCGGTTGTTGAATCAAGTGCAGGATACGATACCAGAGAACATGCGTTCTCCTTCAAAATAAAAGCACGTCGTTGCAACAGGAAAGTCACGTTAACTATAATAAATAACACGCAGCGTTTTATCGTTTTAAGTTACATATGAACGCAATGCTGAAAGGACCTACTAATATCGTTCTGTCCTTCTATAGCGTTAGCTGTTTAGCGAGTTGCTCTGACTTGGTTCGCTAACGAACGTCAACCGGACATCTTTTGTGTAGCGTTAGCTTCGTGTTGGCCAGCTTGACCATAGCTATTTTGTCGCTAAGGAAGTTTATCATTACGTTTCTGGACCAAATCACAACTTCTTAGACTTGGGGGTATGTTCTCCATCTCAATAACAGTTTTTGCCGCTATGGTATTCACCGGGAAGCGAGGTTATGTGAACAGAGTGCTTCTTCATCCATTTCTGACTAATGTAGCGTCAGCTAACGTTGTCTTGCTGCAAGGAGAGCTAACGTTAAGCAAGTGTGTGCTGTTCTGTGACATTAGACCGACATAAGTGGATTCCCTTAAATGCATGTTACGCTATAAACGGTCACTAAAATTCTTTTGCTCCTAAAAATGTCAGGGCAATGTGGGTATCGAGGTACAGTTGAATTGCGTGCACGTACGAGGCGGTTCTACATGTAACTAGCTAACCGGGCTGTTGCGTGTGTAGCATCGTTCATTGTCCATTCACTCTCACGGCTAGCATTGGCATCGTAGCTACCAAGCTAAACTGTCCCTCTTTAAGGTGTGTGAACAGTCAGATATATGCATTCAACTACGTTACAGTTAAAATGATGATAGTATTCATGCATTATTTAGTCTGCTATCATATTCAACATAACCAGGTTATTCCTGCTCCACGCCGTCTCTGGCCAGCAGCTGAGTCTGCAAGCTGTCACTGCAGCAAAACTAACCGTACCTGTCTTATCTTTCTAAAAGTAAACCTTTTGTGTCCAGCCATTTATCCCAGTCTCAAGTATAGATTGCAATGTTTATGGTTTATGTATTGATGCAGTAGTAACACAGGAGTAGATTCATCATTGACGCCCGCATGCTCTTCTAACTTTGTTGTTAGCACAACACCGCAGACGCCGAGCAGAGTACAAAGTAGCCGGAAACCCATTGAAGGAGGATGTCTTCACCACTATACTACACCCAAGACAGTATTACTCGCTTCAAGAAAAGAAAAGCCCGCTTCTCTTTCAGCGAAGTCCACATACTGTTGGATGAAGTGAGGAAGCATCGGATGGTTGTTGTGGGTATGTGATTTTAAGTGCACATTATGTGATAAATAAAGCATAAATAAAGCAAACAACATTGAAGTAGTACATCTGTACACATCTCTGTAAAACTACATTACATTAAGGACATTTTGTTCCCACTCCAAAGGCAAATTCAATCGTGGTGTGCAAACAGACGTGAAGAAGCGCACATGGGCAGAAATCACTGCACGTGTCAATGAGATTGGGGAGTGCCAACGGGAGGTCATCGAGGTCATCAAGAAATGGTCCGATCTGAAGTGTGACACCAAGCGGAAAGTGGCTGCCATGCGGTCAGGGACGGTGCCCAACAGGGGCCTCAACTCTCGTCTCTCACGAGACCTTAATCAGACTGAGAAAATAGTGCTGCAGATTCTGGAGATGGACAAAGAAGACCAGAGCGCCGCTGACTTTGGCCCTCTGGGAGATGACGACTATGTGCCAGATGAGGAAGAAGAAATGGATGAGGAAGATATGATTGGAATGCAGGGTTCTCCTAATGGTGCATTGGACACAGCTATGCCCCCAGCAACTTCCCACATCACCAGTGAGTGACAGAAATGTCTTAATCCCAGTCTGAACATCATTGAAGTTCATATTTTGACATAACACACATTAAATAATAATGATCAAATCAATGTCCCCCTTCTCTCAGAGAATTATGCACAACTATTGGGTCAAATTTTTGTTTTAAACAATTTGAAATGCTTTAATTGTTGCAGGGAACACTTCACAACCTGCCTTTGATGTGCAGTATGAAGGACCTGCGGCAGAAGGTGAGTTGTAAAGTATAAGAGGAGTATTAGGAATATAATTGAGTAATAAGTATAGTAAACACAGATTTTTTTTCTTTCAATCAAGATGCTGAAGCGGCATTCGGAGACTCGGACGATGACCAAAGGGATGAAGCGCCTCCTTTTAACCAGGCCGCCAAACCAACAGAGGATTACCAAGGAAACAACTGCATCCAGAAACAAGGACAGCCTCAGACGTCCTCCGCCCCATCAACATCGACGACCACGGCCCCAACGCCAGGTCAGCCCTCGCAGAGCACTCAGGACAGCATTCTGCACAGCGCATCGTTGAGCCTGCAAGAACAGCACGCCACCAACATCCTGCTGGAGACGGTGTCGCGCTCCCTGGAGCTTCTGTCCGAGTCGGTGCAGCAGCTGGCGGAGACCCAGCAGGAGTTTGTGCGTGACACGCTGCAGCTCCAGCGGGAGACGGTGCAGGTTCTCAGAGACTTCACGGGCGGAGCCATCGCGCTCATGCACGACAAATTGAACGGGCGGCCGGCGTTATAGCGGCGCAGTCTCAGACGGAGATGCCGGGTTGTATTTCACTGACTGCATACAGTCTGCCTACATGTGCAGGAACCTTTAGGGTCCATGACTGTTGGACTCCACCGCTGGTTACTGTCTGCTTTGATAGTGCCCGACCGATTTTTAGTTCTATTTTAAAACTATTTGTTTAAACATTGCATCGATGGGTTTACTGTCTTTGAGGCAACAGACTAGAGGTTTTGGGGTTTTTGGTGTCCTGGTATAAGTTTGTAGTTGCATCAGTGTGTAGAGATGATCTCATGTACTGCAATGGTGAGCAGAGTCGCCTGGCCATTATATGGTCTATATATCTGAAAGCTAAACAAGTGTTAGATCTTTTTTAAAATGCCTGTGACTCAATACTTTTTTTTTTTTTGTACATTGCAAACATGAACACTTGAATTAGAACCTCTTCAATAATTCCTTTTAAATACAAAATAAACCCCTGATGTATTTAAACATAAGAGATGCCATTTTATTATCTGGGATACTGCAAAGTGCTATCTTGGAAACTAGTGAATCCATCTGGATCGTTCATGTCTGGTGCTTTAGCGGCTTATATCCCATATCTTGTATTGTTTATAAACTGATCTGATCTGAGTTCACAAGAGACGGTTCATTTCAAATCACTGGTATTAACCAAATGACTTAACAGCAGTTTTTTAAATGTTTTAGGCCAAACACTCCAGATCCTCATTTGTGAGGTTTGTGCTCAGGCCACTAGATTGTATAAATGACTTTGACTGTTTTCATTGCAAGTGGTTTACTTCCGTACGGACAGAAAACACGTCATGTAAATGACATGTAGACCTTAAAGGATGAAGCTAGAGGCATTCAATCTGTTTTCTCCTTGTCAACAAGTTATTTGATCCCCATGTTCACTGCTGAATTTAGTCTATAAAAAATGCGTAATTTCCACCTGTTTGAGTAACCTACAGTGCCCAGCAGATTTAGGGATATTACTATCCCTTTAATCAATGAAAATATGGGTATAATCCATTTTAAAGATGGTCATCTGAAGTAGGAGTATTTACATGACCAAAGTAGAACAACACTGTAGACTTATCCTTTGAGCGTACTCTTTGAGTGTGTAAATCTTTGGTTGTACCATACTGGTTGTCAGATGGAGACAAAGGTCCAGCAGCCACAGATGTCCAGCCAGTTTTGCAGCTTCATAAGAATAACAGCAGGGGGCTCTGCAGCACAGTCTGCCTTCAGAGGCACAAGATGAAGCCGTGTCCACAGTTTCCTATTCTCAACAATGTACAATCTACTGGGCTTTTTTTTGAGTGAGTTGCATGAATTTCGCTCTCTTAATGCTTGGACGTGTGCTTCGAGCTGCAGGTCCCGCCTTACGTAGACATTCTACGTGGCCAAACAGGAGACGTTGTAAAAGAGGCAACCTTGTTGAGATTGAATGAAATTATCTATTGATGAGGGTACACCTCTAGATATATTTAAGATGGATGATAACAACCGAAAAACACTCAGCTGGTTCAAGCTATCCACTTGTATCATTACTTCCCTTGGCACAACTGAGAGAGTCTTACAGCTAAAACTAGTTAAATCCCAAGATATGGGACATGTGGTACCAGCTCTTTTGTTAATTTATTAATAAACCTATTCAGATACAATATACAATTAGTTGAATACACTCCTTGGCATACTAATGCTCTATTTTGTGGCGTAAAAGATTCCTGTCCTACACCAAACTGCTGTAGAGAATGAGAAGGACACTGGAAGCCCCCTTCAGGGCAATTTGCTACAATGTTCGTCACTAAGTTTCAGCCAATAGTGACGTCTAGTTCTTATTTTGGGACCCGCTATGTGTTTCCTTTTGAGTATTATAGGCTATGGTGTTTATTGCACTCCCAGTTGAGAATTGTGATTCATACAATTGCTGTAGTCCAGATGGGTGAAGTGCTCCATCCGTATAGTAGCAGGTTCTTTCCCGCTCCATTCATGTTGGTAGCTTTATTGCCTAACACACTCACTGGGGAATTGTGTCTCCACAGTAATGTAACAGTATTATTAACCTGGAATGATACTGTCAAGCTTTATTCTATCAGATGCTTCTTTAGCCAACAGACTTCTTTCCAATTTACGGCTTTGTGAGACCTAAAATTAGAAAATGTTTCTAATTACGAGAGATTGTTGGCAAAAAACAACAACATTTAAATCATTACTTTGCTTTGGATCTGCCTTATACTACTATTTGTAATTTACAAATATGTTCAAATAAAAAACTTTTTCTATTGATGAAGTTGGTTCAAGCTAGGCTGAATTTCAAAATTAACATTTGAATGTTACCTTACCTGTAAGGATGTTATAGGATTAGGTTTTAGGATTGGGGAGGGTTTGCCTCATTTGAAGAGTTCCATTCTTAGGTACTCATTAAAAAACACAGACGCGAGCGGGAACACACACGCACACACACAGACACGCATAAAGAGGGAGAGTTAAGTCCCATTGCATTGTTCCCCTGCTGCAGCCCCTTCTGCTCTCAGTTGGCTAAACAGCTGCCAGGGGGCCGGTCCTGCGTGATGCAGCAGGGGCGGAGGGGGGGGGTGCAGCAGGAGTTCAACAGTCCGCTGGGGGCTTCCCTTCCATATAGCTGGAAGGCCGGGGGCAGCGTTAGTGTCTGGCTTGGTGGGGGGGAGGGGGTGGGGTCTGGTCCTGAATAGGCAGCTGTATTCACATTGTGCTCTGGTCTTTTACCAGCAGTTCTTTACGGAGCCCTTAAACCTGACACTTAAGCCTCTCTGAAAGGGCATTATTCACTTTGAGTACCATAAAACTGTATTCTGCGCCTCACTCTCCTTTAGAATAAGAAACTCTATTTTACTTAAGAAGTGAATATCTACACTAAACCTGTGCCTGATTAAATTTTAATATATTGAATTCCTTTATAGGCTGCATTTCTCTGTATTATTCCTCAACAGGCATTGCATTCATGTGGGATATTCACCTGCTACATCATCAGAAACAAATGTTTGTTATCAAAACTAGGCACCTATACGCAGTAAATATGTACAGTTCATTTTAATTTGTGGCATCACATATAAACCAAATATATAAGAGAGGAGTTTACAATACAAATACAAAATCTCCAAAAATAATTAAGTCACTATGTGCTCCAGTCTTTCTCCAAGCATTATCCTGTAGATATTTTTTCACTGTACAGTTGGTGGACATCTGGCCAAAAACGGGCATCGACTCAGTCAGGCAAAATGTAAAGGGGAAAAAAATAATCCATCCATCGATCTGTCCCTGGATGTAGGTTTCCTCCCCCTTTGCTCCAGTTGACCCTGCTGCCCTTTTCCCTTTTCTTGAGTTTTAACCCCCACCTGTTCTCATTCCCTCGTTCCTCCCAACTCCCTCTTTCATCTGCAATCTGCCACCAGAGGACCGAGTCTGGGCCTGGAGAGGAAAGGTAGGGTCGATTGTAGGAGATTGTCATTGTCATGCCTCCTCTGTGCCCCGAACAAAAGGGCAATTATACATCTGCTGCAAAGCCAAACAGTTGTGTTTGATTTACCTCGTCATATCTGTTGACTTGGGGGAGGGTTCTGATCTGATTAATGACTCTCAGATTTGTTTGGTTCATACAATGTGACAATCCGATTATATATTAGAAAACTGTCAATAATATGTTTTATAATTGCCCCAAATGAGGACCCCCATTTCAATAAAGCCCATTTCAATAACGCATTTTAAACATATTGACTTACAACACGGCCACAGGTAGTTAAAAGCACTATACAATATTCATATTGCTTTGTAACAATAATTATAACATAGTTATAATTACAATGACTTTTTTGAAGTTTTTTCATTTTCAGAGTTCTAACACATTATAACATATTTAAACTGAATCATATTCCCAGATATCCAGATATGCATTCTGCAGGAATGGGTACTGAAATCTAGAGAAGTCTAGAGTTTTTTTTATGGGTTATTGGTTAGATGGCTGAAATAAGATGTGTGGTTAACGTAAGCCTAAGTTTTGTTACAAAATCCATCAGTAAATCCATCTTTGATGTAGTTTAAAACTCTGTTGTGTTTTATATTATATATTAAGAACTGGTGTGATGCTATTAGAAAATGTCTTACTCGACACCGGTGTAAAATCATTAAACAGGAGATTTATTAAATAATAGTAGGAGACAGAATTGGCACACGAACAAGTCATGCATCAAGTCTGCTCAAAGGTTGAGGAGCTGAAATATATAATTCAAAGATAAACAAAATAACTATTCTCCTTCAGCAAATGACCACAATGGGTAACTCATTGGTTACAGTAATTATGATACTGTGGTGACCCACAAGTAACGCTGGAGAGACATTCACCAAGGGACTGTACCTTTAAGGGAAAGAGTTTTTGATGTCTAAATTCGCAGCTATGGGCGCTGGCCGTGACTTATTTGTCGCTGACACCTTGTCCGGCCGGCGGTTACTGGTCGATTGGGGGGCTCAGCGCAGCATCCTGCCGGCAAAGCCTGTGGACACCATGGCTGGCGGGCATGGCCCCCCGATGGACGACGCCAATGGCACGCCCATTCGTACCTACGGCACGAGGTATGTGGAAGTGTGTTTCGGCGGGCGGCGTTTCGGCTGGGACTTCGTCATGGCCGCCGTGTCTACGCCGCTCCTGGGCGCGGATTTCCCTGTGTGCTTACAGACTGTTGGTGGATGTTACTACCCTGCCGCCTGATCGACGCTCTTTCATTTGCTTCATACCCCTGCACGCTGGGGGGGAGGGTGGCGCTTTGTCTGTCGAACACGTTTGCCACAGGGGACCTGCATCACCGGCTGCTGGCTGAATTCACGGATATCACCACGCCCACGTTTTCATCAGCGGTGGCTATGGCGTGGAGCACTACATCACCACGATTGCCCCCCCAGTCTATGCACGAGTCCGGCGCCTCGACACGGCCAAGCTCGCGATTGCCAAGGAGGAATTCGCCACCATGGAGCACCTCGCCCGTGGGCGTCCCCCCTGCACATGGTGACCAAGGCTGATGGTGGTTGGCATCCCTGTGGTGATTTCCGTCGCCTGAACAACGCCACCACCCCCGACCGTTACCCAGTGCCGCACATACAATATTTCTTCGCCCACCTAGCTGGTGCCACGATCTTTCCGAAGGTGGACCTGGTGCGCGGTTACCACCAGGTGCCCGTCCGCCCGCAGGATGTTCCTAAGACGGCAGTCATCACTCCCTTTGGCCTTTTCGAATTCCTACAGATGCCTTTCGGCCTCAAGGGTGCGGCGCAGACGTTTCAGCGCCTCATGGACTACGGGACATGCCGTTCCTGTTTGTTTACTTGGACGACATTCTTGTGGCCAGCGCGTCCGCAGACGACCACCTGACGCATCTCCGGCAGCTTTTCGGTCGGCTCAGTGAGCATGGTCTCATCATCAATCCGGCCAAGTGCGAGTTTGGCCAGTCGTCCATCACCTTTCTCGGCTACCACGTCACCCCGCAGGGAGCCGTACGCCTCCCGGCCAAGGTGGGGGCCGTCACCGGTTTCCCACGCCCGCGCACTGTGAAGTCCCTGCAGGAGTTCCTGGGCATGGTGAATTTCTACAACAGCGGCTCAACTCATGCGACCCTTGTATGACGCCTTGCGGGGTCGGAGGCCGGCGGACGTGTTGGATTGGTCCGCAGGGATGGCTGCTGCTTTTGACGCTGCCAAAACCGCGCTGGCCAACGCTGCTCTGCTGGCAGAGACGCCTCGGATTACGCGGTGGGGGCTGTGTGTGAACTGTGGGTAGGTGGAGCCTGGCAGCCGCTGGCCTTTTTTAGCAGGAAGCTCCGTGACAATGAGAGGAAATACACCGCCTTCGACAGGGAGCTTCTGGGTCTTTTCCTCGCCACCCGTCATTTCCGTTTCCTGTTGGAAGGCCGGCGGTTC